CCACCCAAAGGAAGTACAACGGCTGAGATATTGTCACGTTAATTTGGTCTGGACAGGAGCAGTCGAGATGTCAATGTTTGGCTCGAACCAAGGTCCTTTCGGGCAGTAATTTCACCACTGAGCTACCTTGAGCTAAGATGGTAACAGAAAATTTGTTTAATTTCGAGCAAGTTACCTCTGTTCATTGCACTTTACCTTGGTCATCATCCTGGGGCACTTGTTTCCAAGGTTGCGGTCAAAATATTGATCGGTACAAGTTTTGAAATGCGTACGTACTGCCTGCTTTTCGTTCAGTCACACCATTTTCATGCAGATTCGTAAATCAAATGTGGACTGATCTCTTAGTTCACTTGCAAGTTAGAGACTTTATACAGTCCATCGCCGAAGAATTTGACTAACCCTTTCATACTACTTAAATGAGGAGTGTAGTTGGATCCATCACCATCTTTTTGTTCATGCCAAATGAACATGGTTCCAGTCAAAGACATCCATCAAAGAATGGGGAAATCACTCACTGGGAGAGGTTCCTTCTAGCCTTGATGTAGAGACCAGTGAGGTCCACATCAATCCGTGTTGAGGGTCAACGCCCGAACGGATTTTCTTGACCGTCAGGTTCTCCTTGTATTGAGGGCAGTTAGGTGAAATGGCTGCAAAAAAGTATTTCATTGGGTTCAGATGTCTCTTGGAGATTCTTCTAGCAGCTTGCGCAGGTTTCCTTCAAAGTTATCAACCAGGTGCCCATTGTTCGAAGGAAATACTCGGAAATAAGGGGTGTCAAAGCAAGTTTGGTGAGTATCAGTTCAGTCTTGACGAGTGCTCAGCAGAACACGACCGGTTTTGTCCTTCTTGAGGTTAATCAGGTACACGTAATCCCAAGTTTTCGTCAGCCTTATGTTCTACTTGAACGTCAAGATGTACACAGGTGTCAAGGTGGGGGATCTTTCAAGCGAGGGATTCACTGGTAAACTTCCAGAAGGAAGAAGTCATTAGTGAGTTACCTAAAGGTTTTTAGCGAGCTTTTAAACAGTGTCGTGTCAAAGAGTGACATTACTGCTATTAGGCTTGCAGGGCAATTAGACTGCAACCGTTTCATCGCCAATCGAGGTGAAATCATCAGTGCGTTATTGGGGAGTGCAGTTGTGTGTAGCGATGAGTTGGTAGTTGTGCACAACAGAGCAGCCAAAGGAACCGAACAACTAATCGTGATCGAAGGTCAGTCCTGGCTAGTTACACGTATAGCAAGATAGACGCAACGCATAAGTGTGGTGTAGAGTGACCGTGCCCGATTCGGTATGCCATAGATGCAAACAGTACACGCGGCCGATTATTCCCACGGTTTTCAGACTTAAGGTCACGCTGGTGTGTTGGCGAAGTACATTGGTGTTTGCTGACTTCCTGCTGGGCAAAGACATTCGTTTGACAGTTGACCTGACGTGTTCCCTCATCACTTCCCAGTCGTTTCTATAGTCATTCCCCGTCTGTACACGGTTTCTACACGGCTGCAGACGGAGATTCGTGGAACGATGAGCTTCCGTTGACTGCGGCGCCGAAATCACCAGTCGCATCGGTCAGCTTCAGGTCAAAAATTCAGCTAGATGTATGCGAGATTCTTTCACTTACGGACAGATGGGCTTAATCCTACAGAACGACGCGAAATCCCCGATGATAGCGCCTGAAATCGGACCCCATTTGACTGCATGTTGGAATTCGACATTTTGTTCAGCGTTCAATCGATATTTGGCTGCCGGCACGCCAGAATTTTCGGACAACCGCAGAAATGTCGGAAGCTAACTCGGGAAAACGTGCCAGACACACACGGTGCTGTAATGTGCCTAAAATCTATTCACTGACACTGGACAAAACGGAATCACCAACGTGAATAATTTTGTCCACTGGGACGAATCGTCGGGGAGCTGTGCGAAGAAACATAAACACAGGGAGAAATGGTGAAGAAACAAGGTCAATAGCTTTTCTCAAAAATGTCAGAAATTCGGTGTTTTTTGAAAATGTTGACAAAATAGTATCAGGCGGGCACCATCGTTGGTATCTTTCTGGCATTGTAGACCAAGATACAAAATGTCTATCTGGGCTATATGAAATTTGTTTACGATGACTTGCAGTAGTCCCTCTCAACAAGCCTCCCTCCGAGTTAGGTCATCCTTCACTGCAGTCCAGCAGCATTTGAGAGTTTTTGAGAGATCACCACACGATTCCGGGTAAAGAGCACTCCACTGATTCACAAGGTGTGGATTCCCCCTACAACGAAGAGCTCGTTTTTCAGATCTTTCCAATTTGAGATACCCAGCTGACACATGACTAGGTACCTGGGGTAGGTTTCGTCTTGTAAGTAAAGGCAGTGTTTACTGGAGGATCAAGAAGCACTACACAGCTGCTTCTTCCCTCTGAAGGAATCTTCAGCAGTGCGCATCTCACGAAACTCTAGAGAGTCTGGAACCTGCGATCTCCGGGTTGCAAGCTTGAACTCTTAAACGTTTGGTCAAAGAGCGGCTGGTGTTGTTGAGTAACATGAACCCCCCTCCTCCCAAAGAGTGGTTTCTGTCTCGAAGAAGGCCTGATGAAACTCTTTGTTATCCCCGATTAATTTGATGGACTTAAGTCTATCCTGGTGGTCTATTGGAATTTGGAAACCTATGGCGTGTACGGCAGTGAAGCATCAGAGCCAAAACTGACTTTGCTGTCTTTGATGATGATGATGAAGATGATGATCCTATGGCGCACATACCGGGAAAATTCCAAACATAATGTGATGGGCGCAACCAAGTTTCGATAACACCAAAGTAAACCATTCTAGGGTTTTGCTTAAACTAATGGTTCTGAAACTGTTCGACACGTCGACCTCCAGGGCGATACCAAATCCTAAATTGTCACAAAACAGGGATGCCCTTGCGGAAGGAATCCATTCACCTGAAGCAAAGACAAGATCGCTTTTCGAGGGCGCAACTTGGTCGAAGGGAAACTGGTATTTTCAGCTCTTATTAGAGCTCATCAGCAGTGCATTTCCAGAGGCCGTGCCGGATTTGAATTCCAGGATATCGGGCTAACCAGTTATACCCGCCTGTTCAAACGTGGGAATTCAAGTGCATCCAGCATACACTGATGCGGCAGTGGTAACACGCTCTCCTCGCATGTTGGATCTCCCGAATTCACACGCCGGCACTGCCAAGGATGTGCAGAGCTGATGAGCTCTAATAACAGCGAAACACGATCCCAGTTGTTTCTCCGTCTTGTTTGGACCCGCCAGGAAAGGAGGGCTCGAGGGATGTGAATACGATCAATCTGTTAAATATACGACATTTTGGGATTACGGTAAGCGCCCATGCTCCCAACTACCAGTGTAACGTTGGATGCTATTAATGAGGCAAGTGTGTAGTATGTGGTTTTCTCGTAACCCCGCCTCGCATCTTATGGAAGGTGGGGTTTATTACGAAACTTGTGAAACCACCTTGCAGCATTTGCTTACAGTGGCGTGGTAGTCAGTGAATATCTACGAAATTTCAAGAAGACGCGTGCGAATGTTCTTTTTTTTGAAACTATGTGCATATCAGACATTTACTTTCCTGTTCAATAGTTTTGCAACTGTTTATTTGGCGTCTGTCAATGAATAGCTCCGCGGTGAGGGGCTTTCCTCATTACTTCGGTAGATTCAGTAACATTTGAATTTTAAACATGTACCTTGTTAGTACCCCTTGCGGAACAAACGTTTCTTTCATCCAAAGATTACTTCACTTTTGATGGAATTTGGTGAAAAAGTCAAATCTGTGAAGAAGAAAAAGAACAAAGGAGGAGTATGAGAACTGAGGCGTTTTGCAGTCAATCTGATTGGCCAGTCTACAGATCTCCCCAAATGACTTCAGGACGCTTCGGTAGTCTCTTTCAACTGCCTTCGTACCGTGTTCTTTCACCAGGAAGTCCCGTTCTCCATCGTATTGCGTTACTGCTGTTGATTTAATGTGAGCACGTCAGTCAATCCCGTACGTAGTGTACTCTCCTCATAGAGAAAAGCGTAGATCAGAATATTGTCCCCATACCAGCGATCAAAGTCATAATCAATACGTTAAGGAAAGTTTTAAATTTAAAAATTTCTCTCTTCCTCTTCATTTCGTGGCTGCCACGGAGAGTGCAAGTGAAGGCAATCTATGCTGAGAAGCCGAGATGCTTAATGAGACTAAGCAACTTTGAGTATTCCACGGAACTCTAGCAGGGAGGTTAGAACCCGCGCCCTCCCGGCTAATAGTGTGAACACTTGACCGGCAGTGTGCTTGACTCACAATTAGACAGGATATCGCGCCACTAACCCTGGAAACGTTAGACCATATCACGTGGTCACACACAATGATTGGTTCCTCGAGTGACGACTTGTCAGCCGAGAGTTTCGCTATTCTTGTGCAATTATTCGTCCTCTGAGTCACGTATAGATTGATGGTAGTGATCTATCGATAATCAATACACCGTCTGGAAAACTTGAGTGTACGAAATCAGCTGACTAGCTGGACGGGCAGCACCTTCCGCATTGATGGTGATGTGAGTGTTTCAATCAGGAGGCTTTTCACTTGAATCCAGCAATAAATTTATGACTTGAGATCTCGAGTGGCCGACCAGCAATTTAGCTGGGCAGGATATGGTGCGACTCATTCTTCAGTCGCACAGTTCAAGTCACGTGACCTTCTGTTTATTGGCTCCCTGTCTGCTACCATCCCAGATGGAGAGCTTGATGAATCTTTCTTTTTCCCAAAGAAGACGATGGCAATTTCTTCGGTCCATAGTAGCCAGAATTCGACAAAACTGACCTCTTGAATTTCAAGAGGCCGCATAAAATTTGTTTCTTTGAGGACTACGGTTTCTACATTTCAGGATATATTTAAATAAAACGAATAGTGATGCATGTCCGTTTCATTCCGGATCACTTTCTTCCAACATTTTCGGGACAATGTGATAGTTTATTTTCACCTGTTTTTCTTGCTTCCTCCACACACCTCTAGCCAATGAGAAATTCGGCCAGTATTGACGGTCTTGACTCGACCGGACCTCCACAGTTCGTCCAACATCCGGTCGGACAGATTAACGTGAGCGAGGGGGAACAGACCAATGTGACTGCTCGTGTGCGACCCGCCGGGGACAGCAGTCTGCGTGTAGAGTGGTACAAGAATGGAAAGCCACTGTCCGCATGTGAGTCTCTGGTAGTGAGAATCGAAGGGGCTTTTAGATGCCACCGGTTTCATCGGCGACAGAATTCTAGCTAACAAGGTTTATTCCCGTCCAGGCGTTCTCATCGAAGTAACTCAGAGGACTTTCTACTATGAATGCTAACTAGCTTCTCAACGGCTAGCGTTGGCATCATAACACCACCGTGAGGTGTGTATCAAGGGTGTCTACACACCCTGAATATCACAAGAAAGCAGGACGGCTTACGATTGCTTTTTTGTTTCGAAGGTGCTCACCCCGCACATTTCATTCGTTTGGCTGTAACACTCCTTCGGTGCTTAGCTGTCATGCCCTCTGAAAGAAGCACGAGGCCAGGTTACCCAATCCTAGGCGAGAGCCGGGGTCGGGTTCGAACCACGGACTCTCTTGTCTGCTTTAATCTCTGAACTATCTCGAACTCAACTGTTTTGATAATTTTCTCTCCAGGAGTGGAAACAAGTGTTCCCACTTGAGCAATTCCATTTCTGTCGGATCAGTTTGCTTCGAACGAGTTCGCAGAACGAAACAGAGTCTCAATTTCTCTGTGAGCAACGATTGACAGACAGCAGACAAAAGTTTGCTGCATGCTTTAGACTGAAAAGGGCTATTATTCAGTTTTCATAAGTGATCACTAGACCGGGTTGTTGGCCTTTTTCTTGTGGGGTTACCACATTAAACGCTCTGACCGAAACAGGGATTAAAGGATCTGAGAGAGGAAAATGCGATAAAATACGTGATATACAGGTGGACATTTCCTCAAGCCGAAATTAGGCGTGGTTATGGTGATGACGTATAGGTCGCTTGTCACTGTGATCGCAGAAGGGTTATGGTACACCACTGGCGTGGTACCAGAAGTGCTCTGTTTTACCATACCACCTTTGTGTGTGTGGTAAGTGAGACGAGGTGGTTCGTGGTACGATGTTTACCGATTATGGTTATACGCAGGAAGAGATACCGCCGAAATGTTGTAACCCGGAGAACCGATAAGCCCCACAACCAAAACCTTTTGCTCAAAATCCTAACTTTTACAGCTTTTCCAACCTTGACCTGGTTGGCCGGGAGACTGTATCACTCTGAACTTCTATTGATTGACCAATCCGCTAGTTTCACAGGGACCTCCCACCGGATCAGCTTTTTCGGTCATGGAGACGCACAAAACTGTGCACCAAGTTGGGTCTGGTATCTCTCTGTCTCCGATAAACCCAGATCGTCCAATTTCAGAAAATCGATCGACTGACGAACTCAGTCGTACAGCCTAATTTCTGTATCTTTTTGAGTTGTAAATCCTTCAACCTTTTTGACTCAATTAATCTGTTTGCCGATTCAAACGTCAATTTCCTCATCCTCCCCCTCTTTCTCTTCTCTAGCCTCTCGTTTCAACACTATTTTCGATCGCGGCTACGCTGTTTTGGAATTCCTGTACACTAACGAGGATGACACGGGTGATTATTCGTGTGTTGCCACCAACGACTCCGGTCAAGATCAGTCATCGAGTTGCCACATCAAGTGAGTTGTGGAGGCTTCCTCTATTAGCAGTCTAGTCATATGACTGAGCGCTCAAATTTCGGCCAATCGTTTTGTTTTGCACGTAACTCCTGATGTGTTTCACCCCTCCTGGACACAGTTTGTCAGTGTGTGACAATCTGGACTCTTCGGTTTATGGAAGCCGAATGTCAGCAGTATATTTGGACTCACCGGAATCCAGAGATAAGCGCTGGTTACAGCAGTGTCGGCAGCCAACAACCTCCTTGAATAACCATTTCGGACAACTACTGGCAAAGGCGCTTGTCCGAAATAAACTGATATTAGTACTTCGAGGGGAGAACTGATCAGAGTTGAACCCATACATGAAAGATGAAAAACTAGTCAACTTTGTTCAGGGTGGCAGCATTATGTGGAAATTAGATAATGGGTAGACAAACGGCGATATGGAAAGCACGGGATCACCTCTGAGTTGGCGAACATTTCGTGTTCCCTCAGACCAGCAGGTATTGGTTAGTTATCTTTAAGTCCACCCAAGACCGGCTGGAATCGGCTTTGCCACGTGACGGATAGACCGACGGTCGGAGTATGAATCAACCCAAGTTTGGTCGGTTGAGCCGACGCCCCAGCGTGCGTTGAGTGAACGTGCCACCTGATTGGCTGTACGAGTGAAGCTGCAACCTGATTGGCTGGTGTGCGTAGACGATAGCGGTACACTGTGAGCAACGTTCTGCCGGTCATAGCACGACACCAGATCAGTTTTTCTTAGCTAAGAAACAGTGAAGTGGACCTTCATGGCTCTCAGGTTAATCAACAGTGCTTTTAAGTGGAAAGAAATGTATTTTGGATAACCTGACGGCAGAAGAGTCTGGTGACTTTAAATATTAGAAACAATATGGAATCCAAGTAAAAGCTGCACACAAAAAACAAGTGAATCTGGTTGCAATAATTGAGCGGTTGTAGACATATCATTGAATAAATCAGCTTAAGAACAAAGATCGACTGATTGATGGTTTGATTAAGTCAAGTCATCTGGTTGTAAGAAATAGGATGTTGACATCTGACAGAATTTATTGAGCATAGCGGACATCAAAGAAGAAAACTGAGAGATGAACATCATAGGCTATCTGTCAAGAAACATTCAGTCCAAGTCATCAATGAGATGTTATCGACGCAGGCTCTGCTGTGGTTCTGTGTCAAGCCGCGAATTCGTGTGGGAGGCACTAGTAGGACCAACAATCAAACAAAGCTTTTCACGGATGTCGAGTCGGGTCGCGCGGTCAAATGATGATAACCTGAATCACTGCAGTTGTTCGGTTGCGTTATACCGATCTACGTTACGAAGCCCTTTCCGAAGGTGTCTGTTAACCCATCTTTTCTCCTAATCCCATAAGCAATAATTCGCTTAAGACAGCTATCAGCTACAAACAGTGTTGTAGGTTGGTTCCGGCTGTCACATGACAAAGCAGACAGTGTGGGGGAGGCAATCAAGATGATCAATCCGTTTATAAGGACTTCAGATGGTCATTATCCTCTTGTCGAGAAGGAATCGGGACAACTAATGGTTGATGGCGGCCGGTGAGATGTGGGCCCTGGTCGTCTCCGTCACCGTCGCTAGTCACTGCTGTACCTTCTCCCGGAAGCTGCCATCTACTGGTTCATCGTTCACTCCCAAATTGCGGTTGCTTCCGTTTTGCGGTTGGTTGATTGAATCAAACACTATTCTGAGGTACTAACTACTCAGCCAGACAAGCCTAGCCCAGTGAATATGACCAGCTTGTAGGTTTACTTAGCCGGCTTGCCTCTTTCCTGTTCCAATGTGACTTTGTGTTGCCGAGCTGATATAGCCAGCAGACCCAGAGACACCAATGTTCAAACGCTGAGAGACTTTTCACCTTCTAACTGCAAATATCACGCCTCTGATCTCTACAGTGTCATGGAGTGGACCACAGTGGAGTACAGTGTCCTTGAAAGACTAATCAGCATCAAGCCGGAACCAGAGGTGACGAAGGGTGGCAAAAAATAACTATTTTCGTTTTCTGATAGTCAACGGGGACTTAAACAAGTATTAAGAGACACAGGACCTCCGCGGGGAGGATCAAGTGGAACCAAGTAGAATTGGATGCCACGTCATCGAGGCTTTGTGACATGCAACACCTTGTTATCGCTTAGTGTGAGAGAACTGTGATTGATTTTGCCCTGGAGATGACCTTGACGACTGTGTAATTCTGTGGAACAATGCACCAAACTCCCTCCAAAAACAGCATATCCATAGATGCTACTCAGTAACTTTTGTTTGGTTCACTCACGTCAGTTACTGACATAAAAGCACATAGCAGTCATGATTTGGAAGACAAAATGCGCTCAAAAGTTCTTTCCAATACACGTGTCTCTATAAAATCTGACTTTATGAGGACTTTCTGGCTGTTCTCAACTCGTTTCATTGCTGAATCATATAAACGAAGAAGGAGTGATGGTCACGTGACATGCATTCACTCGTTCACCTAGTCTATTTATGTAGTTCCGCATATGTGATTGGTCAAAATGTGTCCCTGTGGGAAGCATCACTCGTTGACATGATCTCTCGAGAAGAGTCGCTCCGAAGAACAGCCTTATTGAGGGTGTTCCATTTGGGCATTTCGGCTGTGAAAAGGAAGTATTTTTATGAAAAATTTAGAAGATATAGACTACACCTGATGAGATGAAGTCAAAATTACTGTAGCCATTGCAAACTTGTATTCCGAATTCGCTCTATATCAGTTGCTCATATGGGGTTCGAACTCGGGTTATTGAACCGGTAGTCCCGCGCGTTATGTACTGGATCCCACAGAACACAACTTGTCATAACTAAGAGATGATGATGATGACTTTTTATTAGGCAGGAGACTTTTTTGAAGCAAGCACCGAGGGCACAACAGCGCTTTATCCACAGGGTTCTGCGGGAAGATGTATAGACGCCATTGGCTGTTGTTGAACTGACCAGTGACTGCATGCAGCACACGCCTTTGCGTGTGATATTCCTACAGTTTGGTTGAGGCTTTGACCAGTGGCCACATGATCCCCCTTAATGAGTGTTAAAGGAGGATGCCGGGCTGTTGATTTGAAAACCTTCTTCCATGAATCCCTGAACCCCATCGTAAAATTTTCGCCGAACAGCTGAACAAACGACATTGCAAAACCAACCTAGCCCCTCGTGTACTTTGTTTACGGAGCGATTGCGAGGGAGTGGGCTGCAATGCATGAGCTATTTTGCTGGTAGTGCGGTGGTTCTCTTACTTCGCAAAGCCATCTGTGGTTGACCATTTTTCGTAGGGGAACAACGATAAGTTTCTCATAGAAATAGCTCTGAGAAGAAACTAAACTGCTTTCCAAAAAACATTTGACAAGATAAGGGATCTCCAGCTAAGAAGTCAATTCGGTTAGACTACCAACCTGATGGTGCATACTACTGATAAGCAGTATGAGTAGTATCTGACCAGGCGTCAAAGCACCTCTTCCGAATCCGATGGAAGGCTGGTACGGGAAATATCGAACCGTTCTGCACTGCTTGTCCATAGTTATTCAATCTGAAAAGAACTTTCAGTAAAGTTCAAGAGGGCGCCCAATTATGTTAAATTTTCAAATACACAGTGCAAATGAGATTTCAACACATAACTCCACACTGTAGGCTGCTCCCCTTCACACCGGTAACATGGCTGAATACTTGTCTCAACACGTGGGCAATTTCCTGAGCACATCGAACTAGGGGTCCGCCTGAAAGTATCGTGAAGTCCGATTTTCAGGTCATTAAAGTGTCCGGAGTGAACTACTAACATCTAATTTTCTCCCGTAATAGTGTTATACCTGAGGAAAATGTCATCACCGACTCACAACTCCCTGACGAATCGATGATTGCCAATCTGGCTGCCATGGAAAATCAGATGATGCAGAATGGCTTGGCTCGCGGAACACGATATCGAGACGAACCAAAGTCCACGCGCCTCCCACAGTTTGTCAAGCCCTTGAACCCACAAACGGGACTGCGTGAATCAGCTCCGGCGCATTTCGAGACCATCATCGAACCGGCAAACGACAGCAGTTTGGAAGTCGAGTGGTACAAGGATGGGAAGCCAGTTAGTATGGGTACGTAAAAGTTGTTTTCTTTACTTGGCACGGAATCCACACCACGTGATCACACGTGTTCCCTGACTCCTCAGTTGATGGCCTAACAGGTGACACCTTCACTCTTCGAATGAATTTCATTCTCTGTAAGCTACTTGTAGATTGTTAGTAGGGTGAGATCCGGAAATTTCCAATTTTGTGTACAATCTGTTAGCTAAAGGTAGCTAGTCCAAAGCTCTCCGGAGTTTCGTGAGAACCGCACTGCTGATGCTTCACAGCAAGTTTGATAAAGCTTACAGTTCTAATGAACTTTTCCCGCATAGATTAGCTTCATCTACAAAACGAAACCTCCATTAAAAATCTCCCAGTGTCTTCATACAAACAGAAGAAGATTTAACTATGAGGGTTCCATGGGAACCTACCTTTTGTGGGAAGTGTGATGTCGGGAAGATGGTGCGCTGAGAGCTTTGGTTGGCATACAGTTAGGTGTTTACGATAACGGTATCTAGCAGAGCAAGCGGTTAAGCCAATCATTGGGCTCGATCCATGTCAAGGTCACATGAAAGCTTGTTGTCGACTGGGCCGGACGAACGGAGGATAACAATTTAAAAAAAGGATCGATAAAATCAGCCACATTTTCAATGAAAGATGCTCCAACGCTTCTCTTTCATTCTCTTGATCAGAGGTGACAAAGTAGTATAGAATTTCAAGGTTTAAATTGTATGGATAAAAAGATTAAGAAAAGCTGGATTATTGTCCCCTCATTTCAAATGACAGATGAATGGAACAGAATGAAAAAAGACGCTATGATAAGTTGAACTCTTGGCCTGGGGATTGTGAACCCCTAGAACTCCTAGAATCCTTTGTGAAGATTGGATAAGTGACCATTCACAAGAAGTCAAACTCCTAACGAATTCGACTCATGGGCCACATGAAGCGAACCAGTTGGCTAATGTACGCGTTGCTCATATTAAATGATCCGAGGCGCCATCGTTTTCAGGCTGCGAACTTTGAAACGAAAATATGGTTGGCATTCGACAGTCTTTGGGACGATTCACATCCGTAAATAGGGAGTTGTCAGGTATGACAGAATGCCTGTGTGCCCAACGCCAACCCGAACGACCAAAGAACAAACGCTCTAGTACCTTTTTAGTTCATCAGAGGAACGACCCACATGGGCGATAGTGTTGGTGGTGTGAGCAGATCTCTTCCTGAGGAAGAGATCTCTTCTTGTTAAATGGAATCAATCTTTTTCACACCTCTCCAAATGTTTAATATCCTGAAGATCGCGGGTTTGCGTCTCCCTATCGTAGTTAATTGCGATGAGCACTGCTCATGTTTCCCATTAGAGCTCAGATTTTTCAACATACAGTGGGCTCAATCAACGGACAAAATATCGAGTAACGGCACTGGAAAACGAGGCAGAAGCAACAGCGACTTCTACCAATATCTTTGCAGTTTTGCATGATCCCATACTCTCCCCAACAGCGATAGGGTGCAGTCAGTTGGAAGGTTCGGTCTAACCGGACACACATATATCGTAATGTCACGTATTTATTAGTAGAAAGCGTAGAAAAATCCAGCTCAATTTAACGATCAGTATCTCACTACTGACAAATTGTTGTGGTTTCGCCCAAATTTCAACTGGTTCTGTTTGGTCATTGGTTATTTCTCCCTAATCCCGGTTAGCTAGATATGCTTGGTTCCGAGTCTTGTTCTTCTAACCTCTCATCATCTGCTAAAATAAGCAGTCTACCGGAAAAAGAGTCGCATAGGAAACATCATAAACGAGGGATTCAGCTGGGGACCAGATGAGTCTCTCGAAAAACCAAATTCGTTTACAAATGTGTATATTTTTCTTTGCAACATCGTCACTTAGTCAGCGCTGGATCACGTGACTTCAACTACTATTGATTGATGGTGGCGTGGTATAATATTTTTCGATCAATCGAAAGGTTCTTAGTTCGAATCCCCAAAGAGGTTTGTGGGGTGCGTCGTGCAGATATTGATCAACTGGGATGGCACAGAAATATGGTTCTTTTTGAATTTTAAGAAAATGATGACTCCGTGTAATCGATGAATTTTTAAACGTATTGATCAGGCATACTCTAGGGCGGAATGGATTTGATTGAATTTGTTCATTTTGCATCTTTTCTTGGAACGTGGTCACAATACTGATCACAACAAGTCCTTTTCGCTGACACAGATGATATCCAACTCTCGTGCTCAGTGTCTTCGTTACCGTTTATTTTGCTACTTGTTTGCTGCCCATTAGTAGTATCTGTGTTGTGTGCACTAAATGTATTCTCACAGTAAGGGCGGCGGTCAACCCCGGTAGAGCGGATCCCATCGTAGAAAAATCGATCAGTTGGCACTAGTGGTAAGCTATCCTTTCGTGGAGACTCACGTTCATGCCGTTCGTTTCTAGGCTGTCGTTTCAACGCCATTCTGGATCGTGGATTTGCCGTACTGGACATATTGTACTGTTACCCGGAGGATAACGGAGCCTACTGGTGTATGGCAAAGAATTCTCTGGGACAGGTTCAGAGCAATGTGGTTGAACTTCAGTAAGTTGATACTGTCTCTCTCTCTCTCAATGTTGGTTGAACTCAGTAAGTTGATACTGTCTCTCTCTCTCTTTGATGAACTTTGCACCGTGATGGTGATCTAACACCCTCGGGACAAATATGTCGACACGTCCATTTTTTTTAGCGTATTCTACCAAACAAACAAATTTACTAACGAGTTTGCTTTGTTTCTCTTCTTCAGATGTAGCCCCGAGGCCAGTATTGTGACAAACTCTGTGCTTTCAAAGGAGTCTGTCTCGTATCTGCAAAGTCTGGATAACTGGGGAAGCGAACAGATGTCTGGGTAAGTACGTCATGATAACTGGGGAATTTCATGTCGGGAACCTCTAACAGCAGGGCTGTAGGTGGATTATTTCTCCTGACGACCGAAGTAAACAGTCTTCGAGAAATACACTCATTTGCAAATCAATTTGGTTTTCACGTGAAAACCAAATTGATTTGCAAATGAGTGTATTTCTCGAAGATAGTCCAATTTGGGTTCAGGTAGAACATAAGGTTGATGGAAACTCGGGGACTGCGCCTACCTGATAAGCCCGAACTGGGAGGGCGAAACTGGTCGTGGGCTGTCGAAGAGTTTTCAGCAAGCTTGCGAGTAGTTTCCTTTATGAAGTAAGCAATCTGTTTACTCTGGACCCAGTATATCAAATATCTTGAAGACATTAACTTCAGCGATTCGCCCGTCGATGAAATTCTTCCGTGGAAGTCCAGTGCGCTGCACACAGTCGAGAGAAGTCCGACAGCAAACAAATTCGGACTTGATTAGTCCTGAAATACATCTTATTCTGGTGTAGACCCGAAGTCCTGAGCTCCCTTTGACCAAAAAAATGTTCTGGTAACTTCTTAATATAATATAATACGATAGTTCAGTTGTAACGCTCTTTCGGTGCCTAGTTGCCATAGCGTTAGGGGATTTACAGGGCCTGAAATACTACACGGTCACGCTGTCCTAGACAGGAACATTTGTGTTACCGGGTTCGAACCATAGACCTTCTGGTCAAGTTCCTTCCCTAACAACTATGCCGTCTCGAAATCGTTCTGATAAGTTAGCTACTCGCCCCGTGTATACTTACGCACCTGGAAATTACAAGTTTTTCACCATGTTTCTGTCCTCTCCATCATCACGTGACATCTGCCTGCGCAACTCCCAAGTGTTAGGTCACTGGTTCGATTCCCCCGACAGGACTATCATCTATCCAAAAGTCACATTTTAGGATATAAACTGCAGTCCGCCACAATGGAATGACAGTTCAATCACCCTATGTTTGGTTCCGTGCGTTACAGTTGCTATTTTTCCTATGACCCCGTTTACTGACGAGTCCAAAAGGATTGCTTCCAGAACTCCGAACTACTTTACTAGCTATTGGGAGCAGCAGGAATTAGCACCCTCCCGTCCAAGCAGTACAAATTCCTCTGGGGAGTTTGGTGACAGGCACAATTATAAACCAACTGTTCTACCCAAAAGCGCGTTAATCAATGTTAGTTGCCTCTGATTCACATTCAAAGAACAGCCAATTCGTGCGCAGTCGGTGATAACAGCACTGATGGCTCACCTCTTTGATAACAGGCTCTCTTCCTCTTGATTGACAGGGCAAAACGATTCATGACAGCTGATCGCACACCGATTGATCGATTGGCAAACAGTGCACTCATAGTATTCCTTTACAACTCCAACTGACGCACATAACAGTAATGCATAATAATACTAGTAGTGATAAAAACATTGAGCAAATTTCTTCCTTACAGACCTCAGATGATAAAATTTGCGAACGGAGCATGTGAAAGTTCACGAATGAACCAGACAAAGCTTGTACTAAACGCCGTTTTTCGCTGCCTCAAATAAATCCAAGTCCAACTTCATCAGCTCGAATGAACCAGACAAAGCTTGTAATTAACGCCATTTTTCGCTGCCCCAAATAAATCCAATTCCAACTTCATCAGTATAGAACGTGTAGCGTTCCTGTGGGTTAGCTGATTAGCGCTTCTGCAACCGCTTCGGGATAGAAGCGCTGATTAGCGCTTCTGCAACCGCTTCGGGGGCCAGATGGAAGCTGGATTCACACCGCAGCAACAAGAGCTGAACTTCAAAACTGCAAACCAGCATACAGGCTGTTTTGAACACAGACAGGAACTGAGTTGTTAGCAGGTTAAAAACGTGCCTCAGTATGGAATGATGGAATTAAGGGTGAAGCTGGTGCAATTTTTAACGTTTCTTCTGTTGGTGGAAGTTTTCCATTCTCTATCCCTTTGTTTAAGTATTTTTCAAACAAACTAGCAAGAGCTCCTTTTATGTCCACCAAATTTTCAACCGGTGAACATCGTTCTAATTCCCCCTGCTTTCCCCACACCCTATTATTTGACAGCATCTTGGTTACGGTCATATCTAACTGCTGTTCAGTGCCTTTGTGCCTAGAAGAGAACTCACCGACAAGGAACAAAACAGTTTTATTGCGAACCAGCGAGTACCAAAGTTACAATGGTCTCGCGCTATTTGAAGGCCACTTTTTGACATTGATCCAGGCTGTCTGACAGACGTTTAGTGAACACTGATCACTATTGACCGTGTCTGAGCTGTGATCATAAGCGGTCATGATAATGTGGCGTGCATGAGTACTCATCGGCTTTTGCTGAATTGATTGGTTGATTGGCTGGTCCTGATGCTTGCCGGCTTTCTTATTGAGATTATGATGGTGTTTTCGGGTCTCATTAGGTTCCGGGAATTCTGGGGGCTATTTTCAGGAGTCTGACCTTCCCGAAAAGAACCTTTAAGTTTGCCTAAAATTCCTCGACAGCCCACAACTGGTTTCAACCCTTCTCTTCATCAGGTGGGCTTTGTCCTCGAGTTTCCGTCAACTCTCCTAACAAATATTCCTATGACATATCGATCGTCGCATGTTTTTTACGATGTTACTGTCAGCAAACGTGATAATCTAAGGTGATAGGGATACAATGACACAGGGACGCACACGACACACGCCTATTGGGCAGTTGCAGCTTAGGGGGTGACCAAAGATCGCAGACGACGGCCTTTGGATTAATGTGTTGTAAATGTCGTAGAATGCTTTTTGACGGCACAGGACTCATAATGGTACCAAGACCGTTCGACAGCCCATGCCCGGTTATTGCGCTCCCTGGCAATCAAGCACGAAAGCCTTTTCTAGTCAACCGAGTCCCGTGGGTAACTAGCGTCTCTCCGTATGAAAAACGTGAGACGAGAAAAACGGATCCTGTGTCAAGCAACCAAATACAGCCCTGCCCTTAGCCCTCACTCGCTGCTTTGTCGGACAAACAGAACCGTTCGACGTCAGCGACCAGTTTTGAGTCATTCCCTCTAACGCGTGGATCTCATATTCATGTGCTCCTTATCCTCAGTGAATGAAACCATAACAGAAAACCGACCTCCAGAACTATAATTTTTTTTAAATTACAGTACGAAAATACGGCTAATGGTTTCAGTGAGACGATTCTCGGAACTCTTTCGTTGAACATTTTTTTAACTCTCAACTGGAAGTATGATTGGGTCTTTGAACNCTCCTTTTTGAAAAAAAAAGCTTTTAAACATGGGTTGTGCATACCTTCGCATGGTTGAGAACCAAAGTTTCTGTGACGGACTAGGTCCCTTATGAAAGTCAATTCCTTTGCACATTCCGCCTAGATACGACCGACCGCCAATCGAGGATGAAGAACCTCCATCTGCTCCGTCGTTCGACATCCTTCCAGTTGCTCTCACAGTTACCGAAGGCAATCCGGCGCGGTTCTTGGTCAAGGCTGGAGGATTCCCTCGGCCAAGGGTCCAGTGGTACTTGGACGGCGAACTGTTGGCATCGGTAGGTTCGATTACCGCAAATTTGTTATCCTGTTTAGAATAACCATAGACTAGCTTCAATGGTAGAGCGAAATTGCCAAATCTCCCTACACAACTATCAATCTCCAAGTAGCTCAGAGAAAGAACAATTTCACAGTGAAACTTCCGTCTGAGTAGTCCTCACTCGAGGAGTCAGTAGACATGTATGACCGAGTGGTGTGGGCCACGTGACTGAAGGGCAGCTGACGCTGTCATTCTTGAGTGAGAGTTAATCACACCACTGATCAGATGCTCGTAGCCGAATGGCTAGCAGTTCCAGCATGTATCCGAACGTCGCGGATGCGCTGATCAGAAGGTCCGCGGTTCGAACCCGACCCCTGCCTCTCGACTTCCCCTGTTTAGGCTTGGTCAACCTGGCAGTATCAGAGCCCTTAGGCAACCTGCTGGTGTATTCAGGCACCCAAAGGTTCAATAAGGATAGTAACGATAGCATCTGTCAGAACCTCTAGAAATCCCCACCATTTCCCATCTTAGACTATGTGCAATCGAAAAGACTTAAGTTCTCTTGGTGAACAAGTTGTCAAGATCTATTTCTTCAGCGAACGTATTCCAGCCAGAGATTAGTATTCGACTCGATTGTTTTTAATGAACCGGTCACGTAATCGTCTCGAAAAAACGGCAGGAAAGTAACTACTTTCGGACAACAAACTGTTTACAATACTGCACCGCTTGTCTGGTGTACTTTCGCGCCAGTGGTGTTTTTTTTACGAAACTGGTAGTTCAAAGAATACTACTGTGTTTGAAGGCGCTAAATTCTAACGGAATACTGCAGAATTTTTAGCCGAACTGAATCAATCGATTAGGACGTGGGCTGGTTGGCATTATGTCAGTTCCTGCTGTACCTATCGATCGAGCGTGTAAGGGAAGACTGATTTCCGTTGGGGTCCACACCTCGCTGCCCCACACCAGGTTGCTATTTATGTCACACTCGGTGTGTGCGAACTACGGGAAAAAACAGGGATACGCATTTCGTTTGTGTCTTCTACCTATCGGCCTTTCCGCGGTCACTAACCAGCACAAATGACAATATGCGTGCACGCGCACACTTTGTTCTACCGAGTAGCGCCCCACGATTGTTCTTCCATGCATTCAGTGGGCAAACTAACAGCAAAATCCGTCCGGATACACACACATGTACACACAGAGTGCATATGGAAATTGGTGCCATACCGATGCTTCGTTTCGAAAATGCTGGTTCATGATTTGAACGTCTTTTCGGCTGGTAAGGTTCGGAACAAATTGGTTCATATAAGCACACAGGCTGGTGGCGTGAATGTTGAACGCGAAAGCAGAAGCCGTAACGAAACTCCGCTCGATTTTGAATGGTGCTTCAAACTTCACTAAAAGCTAGTCAGCAGAAGATAGAACTTAGGAAATTCCGAATTCCATATAGATTTTGTGACATTAGAGTCGTTGGGACATCGAGCTAGGTTTTCAGAGAGAAGGAAGCACGATTTCGAAATAGAGTAACACTCAGGCAGAATAGATTGCGGTCATATTTGAAAATCATGGGCTATCGATTTTACAGCCAGAATCGATCATGGTTGGCTGGATTGTGGCCAATCATACTGGTGGCTTATCGGCATAAATTCAAACAAGCCATTTTAATTGAACGTGCACACGCAGCTGGTGTTTCGCACACGAACGTTTGAGTAAGGATGTAGATACCTTCAAAAATGTACTTTTTCTTTCTCATTGTTTGGGAAACCGGTTTAGGAGGGACGGTGGGCCAAACTAAAAACCCTGTTGTGGTTTACTTGAAAAGATTCGATAAGTTTGACTGAGATTACATGTGAAATCAATCTATGCTGAAACTGTCAAGAATCGCTGTACAGCTGTTTCATCCTTCTAGGGAATCATCAGCAGTGCGCATCTCACGAAACTCCAGCAGAAGATCTCGTAATCCCTGACCTTCTTGCTAGCAGTGGGGACCCTTAACCACTTGGACACGAGTGCGTAATGAGGAATTTGCTTGGCTCTCATCTAGACAGGACAGAGCGCCGCTACTCTCAGCTTTTCAGCGTTGATTGGTTTAACCCATGGGACGAAATCTCTGTTGGGAAACGAATCAGCGTTTCTCTTAGGTCGTTCAAATTGTACAGCCTTTCTATGGACAAACTACGTTTGAATAAGTGAGAAGAACTGATTCAAAACAGTGCGGATTGGCACAGTATGACTCAAAGGTACGTTATAAGAAAGATTGTGGTAATAGAGCTAGATAGCTCAGTAATTAGAGCGCGAATTTACTGACCGGAAGCTCCGTGGTTCGAAGCTGATCTCTGCTTCTCGAATTCCCCTGTCTAAGCCCTGACAGTACCCAGCCCTCGTGCTTCCTTCGGGTGGCATGACTGTTGGGCACCAAGATAGTGTCACAGAGGAACGAAGACGAGTGTACAGTATCCAAACGTTCCCCTTCAATGGAGATGTTGAACTATACAAGAAGTATGCGTTGATCATAGGCTTTCGGCTGCACACTGTTAGTACGTCTGGGTTTTTCCGAGACCCGGTTGAATATTTTGCACCCTCGTTAGCCTACTTGTGCTCTTTAAGTAGTAAAGTAGGCTTGATATTTGATCTTTGGATTCCGGTGCGCCAAGTTCAGTTAACCTGCGTTTACTAGCCAAGAGAGACTGCACAACTGTTCCGCTTTCATTTGAATTATTCGATGAAATACCCCTCGACCACAATACTTTAGGTCGATAAAAAATCGACGTACAACAGTTGGCAGTGCCTAGGTGGTATTCGGGCGGTTACTGGACCATTGGTTCGCGTTATTCGTCTAATAAGGCCCCAATTAGCCGAATCCATCTTGTCTACCCAAATTCACGTGATGCTTGCTTAGTCCATCGTGTTTAGTTCCGTTTTCCACATTCGTATCAGTGTGCAGCCGTAGTGGTTAAACTCTACGAAACATTTTATTCAACGAAAACATACAAAATGTGGAACTCTATCTAAGAAGAGGACCCATTTCTGATGGGCTTCAAACATACTATCGATCACCATTAAATCGAGTGTCAGTAATTCGCAATGTTACATCACATGATCCATCCTTTAGAAACCGGGTGTATCATTTCCAAATTATGTCTGTGTACGGTTCTCTTCGAGCAGCTACCCCGAGGAAACTGTACCGTAGTTCATGACTTTAAGGGGTGGTTTTTAACAACGTCTTTGAAGAGAATTTTGGGGTCTGTTCACTCACTGGTGCATACAGACTAAGTTTTTGATAGAGACAGAACTGTTTCCTTCTCGAAGTTTTATCTGGGACGGCGGGGAATGAGTAGACCATAAATCCGATGAATTCATGCCATAGTTTTGCAGAACTTTTGTTGATGCCCAAATCACGTCATCACATCATCACTGGTCGAGTGCAGATCACGTGAATATCAATCAGGCTTGTCGTTTCCGCGAGCTGTCAGCGACATCAGTGCTTGTGAATCTCCAGACCAAGAGTTGAATCGAATCTCGGCTGGGTACAATAAACCTGACTCAATTACTGCGCTCTGTTCTCGGTTCAACGGGACCATTCAGTATAACCGAGGGATATGCATTATTGATTTGTGCGGACGACTTCCAAGGCCAGTCATTCGGAAGTATACTCTTGCATCACCGAGCATATTCTCGTCCGCATATTCATCTAGTTTAGACGGTCCCATTTTCCTGATGACAGAGTAAATCTGCTAACGACAGGTGTGTCAAACGACTTGAGATAGTTCAGCGCTTATCGTTCAAATTTATTGATCGGACAGTTAGTGGTACGAATTCAACCTTGGTATCTCAGTGTTCATGTTGAGGCTTGAACGACTTGGCAGTAACTCAGCCTTCTTGCCTGGTATGGCAGTTGGTTACCGATTGATTTACTACTCAGATGTGTGAAAAACATAACTCATATGTTACGATGAGTTGTGACTGACTCTCATCCACGGCACTGGCCATATTGAAGCGGGTGAAAAGAAGGCTGCAGGAAATGTAAGTACACATCTTATTCACAACCAGAGACGATGAACAACGTTGGATTCGGTCTGAAAGGACAAGCATTACAACATCGCATCCCAGCAGGTACCATTGTACACTGTAAAAACACGTTTCTCTTGTCTACTGCCAACCAAAGATCCGTTCATTGGATGAACACATTTGCACTTCAATTATCTCATCTTGTTAAATTAAAACGCAGGTTTCCCTCCCACATTCCGATGCGCGTCTTAGACCATTCGTGAATCGTAGTTAAATAGCCTGTAATTCGCCAGACAGAGGTTTCTGTGATAATCTTTCTACTGTTGGTTGGTTTTGCTTCCCCCGGTATTCAAACGATTTAGACAGGTGGTGGTGGAAACTGGCGAGTTTACCAAGACGGGGGCATCAGTCATTTGGAATTTCATCGTGTCGGTTCACCGTGTACCCAAAAGGTTCTTGCTGTCGCTCGGAACAATTTGGGTGAGGCCTCCGCGGAGACGGTGTTGGTGATTGAACCACAGATCGATTTCCGTCCAGATCTTCGTCATGTTGAGCCAGGTTGGTTTTCTGCAAGTTTCATCCATATCTATTATACATACATATGTACACATATATTTATGGTGTTGAACTTATTAGTTCGCATAAAAAGCTGTGAATTTAAAAAGCTAATTAACTATGACTCACTTGTCCAGCACTCAGCAAGTGTTGAATCAAGTCTGCGTATCGTAGCTTGCCAACTCATTTCAGCCAATCACAGTGCGCCAAGGCAAGGCTCACGTAACCAATCAGAGTCTAGGAACAACTGGAGCGATGAGTCCTTGTCATGGTAATGTTTAAGTGCCAAATCAAGTAGTGGTGTCTTATGTCTGATCAACGAGTTCCAAGAAGAAATCCTTTGACATGTAAAGTACTATAAAAACTGAAGATATCCGTTTGCGACCTTGTCAAGTTCAGCGGACTGGACGTTTTGCAGTACTATCTCCGGCCAACCATGTGTTCCATTAAATGACTAATGGTATAGCTTTGATCCGCTCATAGTTTCATCACAGCATTCTGACACACCTCAGGATGTGCAGGCACACAATAGGCGAGTGCGGATCAAGGGTCAAAGATGTCAGTATCTTCGACTGAAATTAACAGCTTGGTTTGATCTCACAGTTTGGACGGAATGATTGTCACCTCCCTCCCGTACAAGATCCCCGTTTTGAAACGCACAACTATCTTTTTCTGAAACACTACTTCTGACCAGTTCCGTTACTTTTTTCTAGAAAATCCTTTCAAAAAATTAGCTCAACTAAAGAAAGTGGAACGCACCAGTGAGTTGAACTCGGCTTTCAATCGACCCCGACCTCAGGCGCTGGATCTACGCCGTATCGAAAGACGTAAGTTAATAGTGCAAGTGTATACTTGCCGGTTACTGTGATTAAAATGTGTGGGTGAATATGTGAACTCAAGTCTTAGAAGCTCCGTGCTCATAGCAGGGCTTTGTGGCAGACCTTAAGCAGACTGTAGAAAAATTGTCTGTTGACTTTATCGAGAAAGCTTATTCGCTGTGTCCAAACAAGGTTTCTTGGTTGTGAAAAGTACACTAATTTGCAAATCAATTTTGTTTTGTTTGTGAATCACTCGTTTATGATGAGTCTCCCGTTAAAACCAAATTGATTTGCAAATGAGTGTACTGCTCGAAAACAGTCCAATTCGGGTTCAAGTAGAACATAAAGTTGACGGAAACTCGGGGACTGCGCCTAACTGCTGAGCCCCAAAAAGGGCGAAACCGGTCGTTGGGCTGTAGGGATTTTTCAGCAACCTTGTGAGTAGTTTTCTTAGTTGTATTCAACCACTCAGAATTGGAATTTAGCCTCGTGGATTGCACAGAATGATTGATTTCCGATAAACGTAAATTTACTCTATGAGACTGCCTTGCTTTCAGTATGGGCTGAAAGAAACGGAACAGTGAACGGAACATAAAAAACAAAGCGTAAATGAAGAATGCGCATGGCCAGAAAAGTGGGCAATGTTCAGTTAAACGAGTGTAAGCCATGTCTCCTTAAATACTAAAAATAGAGCAGGGGAATAATCATTCTCAAAGCGAGGTGGTTCAAGAAACATTAGTTGCGAACTGCTGACATCTCTTTACACTTCCTCTGCTACGAATGCAAACGAAACTACGGTTTTCGACAAAAAAAAATGACCAAGTAGCCACGGCGGCTTCAGGTAGCTTGTGTTCCGAGTTAATATGCCCTCTGTAGGTGCGTATGGTTTGCTCAGAAGACCTTCAGTCATGGACGAGCTTACACGACCCGTTGAATGACTATTTCGGTCACGTGAACTCAATCGATGAGACCACTTTGTATGTGGTCTGTTGACTCTTTCGTGTCGGAAGGTTGTTCAGCTGTCGCTCACAAAATCTGGTAACCATTTTTAAAGGGAAATCAATCGATTCTCAATTCAAAGCTGCTTATTATCGATATTGCGGGGACCAGTGCATCCTGCTAGACTGCAAAATGAAACCAACATTCAGCTTACCAGAAAGTAGCTGATTCGGGGAAAAGTGACTCTTCACATTTCGGAAGGACTACGTCGAAACACACATCTTGCTTCAGAGAACTCGCTTTAACCCACAACATGTGAAAAAATAGTTTTTTTAATCGAAAGGCTGCGTGATTACAAGGTGAGACTAAATATAAGATAAGCGCGCTTTGTCTTATATATAGAGTGCCAATAGAGATCAATTCCTGTTCCCCCACCAAGATTGAACACTTCTCTGGTCTTAGGTGAACACATCACGTTTAGCCAACTTTCTTTGAAGTGGTACGACATTCCTCGTGAGTGGGACCCTTTTTGATAGTCTTCAGATGTTCGAATCTAAGGAGAACAGTAACGCTAGACTTCTATTCGCTAGACTTATATTCGGTTGTTTGTTTGTCCAAGGTCGAGAATCCTCAACACCAACTCATCGAATTTCTCGCTGTGTGACTCCTGAAAGATTTGAATTCTCACAAAGTTCGATGTCTGCCATTTCAACAGTCTTCCTGTGGAAACAGTAGGGTGGTGGGTAGAACAAAGTACATAGATACCTAACTAAGGATTCTAGGGGTTTCATTATGCGGAACCTCACGAAGGTAGATCAGTTTAACCAACGCCACGGTCATGCAGAACTGTCGGGTTAGTCCTGATTTGGGATCTTCGTTTTTCTGGCTGTCGTAGCTGCTTCGCTGTGTCAGAGAGTTGCGCGTGTGCGTGTGCGTGTCCGCTCGTCGCTCCACCATCGATCTGGCGTGTGACTTGGGTGGCTGATTGGGTGCGTGTCCGATGGATATGCTCACGTGAGTGCTGTGGGTTGACTGGATAGGTGACCTTGTTGTTTGCTTACCCGCCACGAAAGCGGATCAGTTGGCCGCGTGTACATACTACACCCGTGTCCGTACTTACGTGTTCTTCTGTGAACGTGTTACTGTGAACTAACGTGTTACGTGTTACGTGTTACTGTGAGCTACAATATTGGCTATACTTCTTAGTGGAATTAGCCCACCCAGCTAACCGGGACTATTTCAGTCTGAGATTGGTTTGAAAACTAAACGACTAAAATCAATATGTTTCCGGAGGCTATTGATTACTACAGCTGCGGACGAAGTCGTGCGTATCGGAACCGATCGACGATGCAAAGTTCTGGGCCTGGCCCACAGAAAAACCACAGTTGTCTTCTTGAGTGACGGTGTCTTCATTCTGTGTTTCAGAGGCTGAGTACAATGCTCGCGCAGCGGCCGAGAACGAGGCTTTAGAAGCGGAGAACTTGTACGCACGTGTTCAGTCGCAATTACGAACGAGCCGACGATCCAGTCAACCACCGCCAACACCTCCACCGACTCGACAGGCCCCAGCAACAAATGCGCCGCCACCGCAACAACATCAGCGTGCGCTGGCACCGGAGCCTCAACCGAAAAAGCAAACATATCAGGTATGTCCGGAGAACCTCGTGACTTTTGTCAGTTCGGTTTTCCATAACCAGAGGGAAGTTTTGAAACGGGACTAACTGCAGTACTTGGAGGAAAACGTATGGGAATATATGCGTGATCTTTACAAGGTTCCGGTGACTAAAAGAGCGACTAAACAAGGGATTCAACTGAGACTCAACTGAGTCTTCTGTGAAACTCAGAATGGTGTGGGAATGAATGTAGCTGGCGAATCGCAAGCAGTTTGACGTGCACTCGGTGACTGAGATTACCTGATGAACCCAATACCGAAAGGTTCTTGGGCTGTTGAGGAGGTTTTTACAAAAATTTCATGTTCCTTTACTCGATGTTTGCCACGGTGTCCGGAAATACTTGACGATTGGATGAATATCTGCAGGAGTTAAGCGACGTTCATTCCAAGCAACCAGTTAGATTTTGAGTATCCTCGTTCCGTCCCTTGGATAGCACGATGAGATTCGCGTGTATGACCATAACCGGTAACCATATTCTGTCTCTCTTCCGGCTACAATGTGACCTTGAGTGTAAAGTGCATTTTTTCGGATCCCTTGAGTTACCAGGATTTTTAATGGACTCAAAGGAATTCGGTTAGGAAGTGCATCTTCTTGAGAAGGTTTGTAAAATGGCAGAATACACATAGGTTAAGATCGAATCCAAGTGAAACTGACTCCTTGTATGTACTTTTAGCGGTTCGTAGAGTTATACGTGTATTTCTACAATCGTTAAAATAAATCACGTGGTCGGAATTGTCCTTTGGGAAAAGGGATTCGGAACTATGCACAGAAGTAGATACACAGGCGTCGATAGGTGAACGGAATACATTGATTTTTCAGTTTTTATTATCTGTATAACTCGTTGGTAAGCGGGAACTTGTGATTTTGGGTGTTTCGTCTTCTGTCTCTCAGCCTCCACCGATGCAACAACCCCAACACCAAGTCCAGATGCAGCCGCCGCCGGCGCCGCAGGCCCCACAGATTCCAAAACCTCAAGTAGTACCTCCACCGCCACCACCACCAGCACCTGTGCAAGCGGTGCCTCAGTCACCTCCAGCACCGCCCCAGAAGATAATCCAGCAAAACCCGATGCCCCCACCACCACCAATGCATGAGGCACCGATGTCTCCAGCTTCCCCTCCTCCACCCCCACCCCCACTCATGAGTGGCGGAATGACAAATGCGGTATGTCCCACTGCTGTCTTGTTGATGCCTGGCAGTGATTCTGCCAGGCGTACTCTTCAGAGTTACTTATCAGGGTGCTCACTTGTTGATTGTCCTTGTCAAGGGTGGCATGTACACACATGCCGTTTCGATGTGCTTGAATCTAACTGAATTCTACTCAGATGATTGAATCGATAATTTTCAAAAGCACTCCTATCGTGATATTAGACACAGCGATGAACATTACTCATCGGAGCATCTTTGCAAGCATCCGGCTGTTTTCGTAACGTGCAGTGCCAAGAAGAATGACTCACGTTCGCATCTACTATTACAAGTCAGGACCTGTCTTCCGAGTGTGTGCGCGATAGTCCCTCAGGATAGACTACGCTTTTAAAATTGTCGAAGATCGAACCCACCAGTTGTACAAGCCTTTGTTGTGATGTGAAAGCCCAATCTCCTTAGTTGCTTGCACTGACAAGCATCTCTTTTTTTCGTGGATTCGGGTTCCTTGAAGAACCAGAGCCGATCCAAATTTACAAATTTATCCCTTCAACCAACATGTTTTCCCATAGTTTATGATAAATGAGTGCGGATAGAGCTTCTCGCTTCTTTAACGGTTCAAATTCGACAGATATGGTGTGTTTGACCACGACGTTTGCAAGTCCGTTCCATTTTTGAGGAGCCAAACAGGGCTATTCATTTTGGACGGTTCTATTCGTTTGGAAAACTAAATAAGACAACCTGATTTGCAAACTAATTAGGTTTTTCGGGAAACTCACCTGGAACATCACAACCGAGAGATTCAGCTGGGTTCCAGGTGAGTCTTTCGAAAAACCAAATTAGTTTGCAAATGAGTGTATATTCGATAATTTCGTGCAATTTGGTTTCTAGTAGAACTCAGCGGGCTGCGCCTACCTGATGAGCCCCAAGAAGGGCGAAACCGATAGTGAGCTATCGAGGAGTTTTCAGCAACCTTATGAGTAGTGCATTACAAAGACAACCAATCACCCAATTGAACTTTGTACTCCAGTCGGTGCAGACCTCAGCTTGAGGAGAACTTTTCCAGTAGCGGAGATTCCAGCGGTAACCAAGGCCCTAGCTGCTAGAAGGGATCTTTTCCAGATAAGCCCCGCCAAAAAATTAAGCCCCGCCACCCAAAAAAAGATTAGAAAAGAGAGGATATGAAATTTGCACTTTTGATTCGTTGAAGAGGGTAAAATTGGGGTGTATCATTAATAAGTTGCATGAAAAGTTCCGTTTTTCGGTGCCTTTGCCTCCAAACGAACGCACACAAGTAGCTGTCCACTAAAGATCGGTGTGTGCCGCATTTGTGTTTATTCTGCATCTTGTAGAAAGGGTTTGTGTGTGATCCCCAGTCGTTGGATCTACAAAGTTTTCGGTGTGATTAACCGTTTCATGAGTATCATTCATGTCAATCATCGTTTCAATTCCTTGGTGTGATGCCCACATATCGGAGAGGATGACTGAATCGGGAGTGATGCAGGCCTGGATTGTGTACATCAAAGTAGCCGAAGTTCGATCGGGTACTGCATACATGAACACCTCTTCAGTTTCCCGGTAGATCCCTCCGAAAATCCACTGCTGTGGAAAGACACGCCCTGAGTAGATTTTACGGTGAGATATTAGCGCTTCATCAATCTCGACGTGTAGACCTGGGCCGCCGATAACTGCTGGAGTCTTCAAAAGCGGCCAGGCGAAAACTTCGCGAAGAAAGTTCTTCTAGTCAACAGCGGTTGTGTAGCTAATAGATAATTCCTCTGAACAGAGTTTGATTTTTGCCAAATTTTTGGACCAGCAATAAATGAATAGAATTACTGCCCTAAACTCCATCCTGGACCGCTTCAGCCAAGTTCCCTTTCGAAGACCGATTTCTTGCCGGGACTGTCGGGTATTACACCTCCACCTGTCAGAAACAGTTGAAAGTGTCATTTGGTGACCACTGTTTCACAAACGTTACTTATGGATCACTCCGTGGCTTTGCAAAAAACGTACTGCCATCTCATTGTCATGCACGAGAGTTGAAAGCGTCAGAGAGTTCATTCAAGGTTTCACGTCCGAACGGAGGATGTTTATGCACAGAATGAGCCTAGATACGGATAAGGAGTTGTGTTTTCATCAAAAATAGGTCAAGGTTGTGTGCGTACAATAAATTGGAGCTGGGAAAAAGTGGTGGGGCTTAACTTTTAGCACTGGTGGTGGGGATTATCTGAAAAAGATCTGCTAGAAGATATCTGTCTGAGACAGCTTGACGTTTCCTCCACCCTGACTGACGCATGTCTCTTCGTGATCCGCGAAAGTCCAACTCAGTTTGACCCCTCAGAGAAGATCACAAAATAAAAAGTACACTTTTCTGGCCAGCATAAGCCTTATACTCTTTCTATTCTATATAACTTTCTCAATTCGTCATCTGGTGTCCATACAATCTCGGGTTTGTTTCAGTAACCTTCATTTGAGCAGTTGCGTGTATGTATTCGCTCTCAGGAGCTCGTATGCTACATGTACTTTAATTCGCTGGCACTACCTGAATAAGAATGCCCCCGCGACGCATTTGTCAACAGCATTCACTGACTAACATCTGTCTGGAGCTACATAGATGACATCGTCGCAAAGGCACTTAACCATGTCGGTGACAGGACGCTTTGAGGAGGTTTACTTCAAGCAGCTGAGGCTTCCATACCCGCGGGAATGGACACGCGTGCATTAGGTTGAGTGAAATTCACCAAACATTACGGTAGAAGAGTTTACAAATATCGCCTTGCGTTGTTTCTGTTTCAGATTGCATGGTATCAAATTGCGTCTGATTTTGACCATTGTTCCGTACATGCATTTCTTTATGAACCATTCGTAACCTGCTAGGTACGATTTGAATGGAGTACCTATCACGTTGTCCATTCTATTCATCCATACATCAAATTAAAGTTTCCCGAAGAATCTTTGTAAGTTCTCCCACCCTTATTCCTCCCGTAGTCCTCCCTAATGGGTTGTCCCTCCGATGCACAGGAGGTCAGATGAATCGGTGTCATTTGGTGAAACCTTGCATGCTTTGTCAGAAAACGGGTGAATATCCTCTCTTCCAGGTTTTCGGTGTCCCTTTGGTGAACGCATGACTGATAGGTGTTCTGACAGAGTTCTGTTTCTACAAGTTTGTTGTTGGTGTACTATAAGCAGAAGCCCAATTCGATCAACGTTTTTTTCAAATTATCGATTCTTCAAATCTATTTGTTCATTGATTTTTTCGGCTTTTGACGGTAGCGTATATGCTAACGTTGTAACGTCTTGCACTACATAACTAACCCGATAAAACTTTTTTCCATATACCAGTTGTTTATCTGCATTTCATTCGAATTTAGTGAAAGTAGTGATGATCTTCATGATCACTTCTGTAACACTGCGTCAGTCTCATTACGTGGGCCAACTGACTCATCAGAATACCTTAAACCAATCAACCAATCATAATCAAGCAGTCTCTGACCAATCAGAACGGCGCGACATTATCGCCAGTCAACATTCAACCTACGACTAGTCCACTGGAATTGTAGTAGATATTTCAGACGATAATACCGTCATCAAAATGATATAATGACCCTTGAAATTTTTGTCCATATAGCATTTAATGCGGATTCATTTAGGGACGCATCGAATCTGCGACTCATACCACGGAGGTGCACTTTTCTGAGTGTCACTTCAGATGACTGTTTGGAAGTGTGATAAGTCCCATCCCTTAGATCCTGGCTGTCGACTAATTCAGACAAACGCCCGTATGCTAAAGAACGGTTTGAGTATTTCATGCAAGCTCTTGCCGATCCTCACAGAGGTTCATATATTTCTCAAGACATGGACCTGGATATGCACTGCAAACTCGGTCGGATCCAACTCTGTGGCTGAGTTTTTTTGGGGAGCTGGAGCGCCAAACTATGTGCTCGATCCTGACTGGCTGACATTCTGACCAATCTGTGTATGCCTTTGTATGGTCCATAGTCGGTTGGTGACACGTCACTCCAATGGACTTGATGTTCGGCTACTTAGGGTGGCTCCCTTCCGGATACAAAGTTCGCTTTATTTTTCTTATCAGTTTTAAGTAGTATCTTGATGTACTGGCAAGGGTGACACTAATTATCACTCCATGTTTTATCCTTTTACTGAAAACTTCCGCGTCTTTATGATTCACTCGATTAATTTCCTTCTTGAGGCTTGATTCTACCATCCACCTTTAAGAATTTTGTGCTCTCAGCCGCCAATCAGGCTTTATTCAATGCGTTGGGCTCGTTTATACATTGTATCTTAGCGTCAGGACGTATATAGTAGTAACGTTTTAACCTTGTCGAACAGATTTTACGCAATTTTATGCGCATTTTTTCCAGGCAATGAGCCCAGGCTACGAAGCCAAGACCGAGCTAATGCATGACGAGATCAGCGCGGATTTCACCATTGAGCTTTGAGTGAATGAAGCTCACAAATGGACACTTTACCCCTCTCAAATGCATTTTATCAGAGTCGCCCACAACGTACTACTCAACTTCTATAACCTCGTTTACTCCCTCAACCAAACTGTTCTCACCCCCCGCCACACGAGCTATTGGATTTTCTGCTTATCTTCTGTGTCTGTCAGTTATCGTGTTTTCAAAGTTTTCTGTTTCGTTCAACTCACGGTTAGAAAATTTTCCCGCTTCACCCCATACACATGACTTCAGTATTTGAAGCGTGCTGACACATTTCGGCCCGTCTGTGGTTACCGTTATTTATGATTCTACTGTGGGACTAGAACCGTCTTTTTTGCTGCTTTCTCCTCTTTCGGAACTTAACTTGGCAAGGATTCGTTACATTCGCCACAACCTGGCTATGTGGGGAAAGTGCGTCAATGGAGGCCAAACAGAGGGTGGGATTCACCCATCCCTAAAAAGGACATCAAAGAATTCGAGCTTACTTTCAAACATTATCTACATTATCTCTACTCGCTTGCCCTACTCCCCGTAGAATGAGCTACAACCCTTACCGTGCACAAACAGCCCTATTTAGTTAGATTCTGATTTCAAGAGAAAATCCACCTACTGATTTCGCATCAGTAGTCAGTTATCTAAATTGGTTTCACAAATAAATTCCCATCTGAGTCAACGCCGGGTTGTCCATTTATATGGGAGGTACGGAAGGGATATGGGCCAAGGCAAAATGGTTTATTTTGAAAATTGGGACTTTGATGCTGGTTATTTACCTTTCAGAGCCCGTTGTTTCCTTGAACGGCCCTCTCAAAGCGATTTTTCGAAACTGAGTGAGTGTTCTCAGTGATCAAAATGTTAGCCTGTACTGCACTGTCATTTTACAGAGGAAGGTTAAGTAAAAAAACTCTTTGAAGCGCTAACTGAGTCCAAACAGCTTTTAACATGAAGGCGAGGTGGCCCAAGTGGTTAGAGCGCGAAATTGCTGACTGGAAGTTCCGTGGTTCGAACCCGACCTCTGCCTCACAACGATTCGATTCCTACCCACCTCGCTCGATCGTCTTCAGATATTCTCCAGAATATCGAAAGATCACGGCGAGTAGTAAATTGCGGGATATCCATGGGCTTTAGTTGTGAGTATGCCAAAGTGAACATGTTCGTTATAAAATGAGGAGTGACCACACCAAGCTACTGACAAAGCAGTCGGATGAATAAGAAAATCGGTAATGCGGTCGGTGAGTCATTCATCCTTGAAAAGCGTCCACATTAGTTTGGTTCAAGGAGTCGTTCTCGCATCCATCGCGTCCACTATGGTTGATTCCGCGGAAGCGTTGGAATTGATAATAGCTCTTAAATGCGCCGATCAGCTGTGACCGGCCTTTCAATCTGAACATCTTGCTTGTGAGGCCACTGCGTTACTATTGCAACCAACTGCTGACCCCGCGACATCGCGGTATTTTGTGTGCACTTTTGACCCTGAATCAAGACTGTCCAATCGACATTTGGTGAATAGTCGTCATCGTCGGCCATGCTTCTGTGACATGCATGAACACCCATCTTCGGCCAGTGCTGGACAGCTTGTTCATCCAAGCAGAAGCTGACTTTTCTGGCCTGGGTACTTGGAGGGGTTCGCTACGGCAAATATGGTGAAATCTGGCATTCTGCGGTTATTTTAAGAAACTTGACCGTCCTGACAGTTACTATGATTCCATTCGTTCCTCCTGGATGCTCTCGAATCGTTACAACACGTGTTGCCACTGCATAACACCAGAAAAACGACTGTTTGGTGGGCTTCTGGCATCCGTGTTGCTACCTGACTGAAGGAGTTATTCGATCCACACAAGTAGGGTAGTTTTTTGGGTCCCACATCCAAAAAAATGGCCAGATTGTGAACAGATGTAATATTTCGAATTCTTCAAATGCATGCTAGCAGAGTACCGTCAAAACGTTGGCCTCACTTATCACACGGAAGCAGTTCAACTAAGAATATGACTGGGTAGGAAGTTCTTATCAAATCGAAACTGGGGTCAATTATTTCTCCATTTTAGTGTGCTACAGTGATATGAAGTCCTGCAACTACGCATGACCTTGAGCCCCGACGTTAGGTTGTATGGTAAGTTTTTGCTGATCATTTGTTGCCTTCGTTTTCTCAATCTCTGACAACTGATACATCTCTTGGTTGCTTAAACTGTCGACGGGAATGCACCAATTTCAGATGAGTCCCTCAATCTCGTGACAGTCTAGACTGCACATTTGCCGTCTTTCTTACGGGATTTGTGCGCAGTCTTGTGTCATGATCTAGATAATGGACAATCACCCCACTCCTCTGCGTACCGTGAGCACGTGACCAGATGGCGATCATGACAGGGGGCCTTCTAACGCCGAAACGTTCGAAGAAATCGACCAGCTTTGCCTAACTTATCGATCCCACCTGATATCCACACAATCGAACCGAATTCCGAAACCGAGTGTAATGCTCAGGCGGAATATATCCTCACAAAAAAGTAAAGTGAAGTTTTTTGAGAAGGAATGGCCCACTCCTCAACCCGGTCATTCTCCATGTGGCCTTGACCAAACTCGTCACAGTAGGATATTGGATAAACCAGCCGGGTAGTGACCAGTTTCAAAAGCCTATCTCGCCAGCTCAGCTTAAAATGCTAAGCCTGTTTCGGAGCACTGAACGAGAACCAGGTCCTTTTGTTCAAATTGAACAAAACACTGCCTCCTGAAGACAATCTGCCTGACTGCTTAGATGAAACTAATCCACTAGTGATTCAACGCTGCATATATGGCGAAATTTCAAACTGAGGCTTGGTGCTACGAATTTCCAAGTATCTCTTCCGTTTCCTATCTAGGCGCTGTGTACGAATATCAGCAACCAGGACTCGTGCATACAATGGCAAAACTAGGTCGGGATTCAAGCGACGAGACTCGAACCCGTGACCCTGACTAACCAGTCGAATAGTCTACCAAAGGATCAACCCACGACACGCATGTGAGTACGTGCACGTCACAATTTCTTCAGCGAAATACACTCATTTGCAAAGTAATTTGGTTTTTCGAGAGATTCACCTTGAACCCAACTGAATCTCTCGGTTTTGATGTTTTCAGGCAGCAGTTCCAGCTGGGTTCTAGGTGAGTCTCTCGAAAAATCAAATTCGCCTACAAATGAGTGTACTTCCCTGATTTCGAGCAATTTGGTTTCAAGCAGAATACAGGGTTGACGGAAACTCGGGGACTGTGCCTATCTGATGAGCCCCAAGAAGGGCGAAACCGGTCGTGGGCTGTCGAGGAGTCTTCAACAACCTTATGAGTAGTGCATCGCAATTCCTTTTTTTAAAAAAGGCTCATAATTCACCTGAAATGATTAGGTTGTGAGACAAACGTTCCCATACATCTGTTTTAGCTTTGACCAGGAATTAGCCTCTGCTGAGTGAGAAACGAGTCATACTTATTTCATCCAAACAAGTGATTCTGGTTTATTCCGCAGTATGGCTTGGATACATGTACAGAATGCTTGATGGCATGTCTGTTTGTTTACAGAATTTGGCTCGATGTTTCCGTTGATTAGTCCGTCTTGTATGAAGGATTGCCGGATGTTTCTTCTGGGCAAAGGGGACGAGAAAACAGGGAATTTTCTGTGTTTTTGTACCGGGATTGATAAAATTCAAATAGCTGGTGTGCGTTGGGAGCAGAACTCAATAACTTAGATCGGTATCAGAACTGGCAGTCGTGGAAGTGAGTGGAAGAAGTCATGTGGAGTCAGAAGACTTGCTGTTCGAACAGCGTGCAAAGCGATTGGTTAATTCTGAAGCCGGATCACACACACGCACAAACGCTGTGATTGGTTCGTCTGTGTGTACGCAATAAAGATGAAATAAACTCTTTTGACATTCTGAAAACTATGTACAAAAGGCATCCTATGATTACACACGACCAATCAGAATCACAGTTATGCTTGTCAAATGAATTGCACAGAAATTGTCTGTCCACCGGGAACGAGTACCCAAACCCTTGTCTGATTTTGACTTGGATTCCTTTTCGCCATTAGTTCCGATCTTGTCCGAATATGAGTCGTGTCCGGATGAGGTGGCATTCACTTTACTCATCCAGGTAACCCCTGACGGTTGCTCGTTCGGATCGATGGAATCTTCATCATCCGGCAAACCTCCCTGGGAGTTGATATTTGTGGGCGAATTGTCATGTGACAGTTGGGTTGGATTCAAAAAGTTGTGGAACGTGTTGAGATGTGGGTAGTCTGCGTAATCTACCTGCAGTCCGCTCTGCACTCCCGGGAAGCCGCCACTGCCCTCAAAGTTGGATTCTGATTAAAAAAAGAAGGAGAAAGAATGTTACCTTGTAAAAACATTGCGTGGTCACTGTTAACCACGGACTATACTTGATTACTAATATCTTCGAAGGTCTAAAATTGTACCGGTGGATACTACTGATGAGGCATACGAGTATTATATGGCCCATCGTTACTCCGCCTTGATCTAACGGAAGGTAAGTATTGTCACGGAATTTGCTTGATAGTCAGTGAATATCCGAGAAAGTTTTAGAAGACGCTTTCGAGAAGGGGACGGATATTCAGGTTTTAGAAACTAGTCGCATATGAGAGTTTTGCTTTCCTGTCCAATAGTCTGTAACTGTTCAACTGGTGTTTTCTGACAAGTAATTTCACAGCGAAGGGCTCCCTCGTTTCACCATTAGGGTAACAATACTCGATGGCTTATTGTTCTGAAACGCACGTAACCTGAAGGCAATCTCATCGTCACGCGCTCCGGTTTGTAGCTAAAGGGCACTGAGAGTAACAGGAATAACACGACTGTGTAGGGTCCGTCCTGACTCGCAAAAAAACTTGGCAATTGGATTGAAGACATCAGGCATCGATGTATAATTTTACGTGCCTTTGGACAAAGAGCATCGAGACCTAAGTGAAAAAGTTGCTCAATACTAAACCGTTCAATGTACGAACTTTTTGAGCCAAGGACGACTCTTGGGATGTGAAGTGAATACGAACAGTTGCAGCCAACCCAACTAAACTTGATTCAGTGTGTAGCCCGTCAGAAGGGCTGTTGCACCCAATGCTTGTTGCATTGTATAGAAAGAGCTTGCCTTGTTGTGACGTCAACTATTTTTAGGTGTTTTTGTGGCACAGTTCCTTCTGGATTATGTTCTTTTTCTGGGCCGAGATGGCCCAATTGATTAGAGCGCGAAATTACCGATCGGTAGGTCCGTGGTTCGAACCCGACCCCTATCTCTTGACTTCCCTGTCTAGGCTTGGGCGACCTGGTAGTATCCAAGCCCCCGTGCAACCTTCGGGTGGCACGGCAGTTAGGCACTGAAAAAGTGCTACGGCTGAACAATATATATGTGTCCTTTTTCTACAAGTCTGAAGACCGCACGGTACACACGCAGAGAAATGTGTCTCAGTTGCTGCTTTGTCATTCAAAGTAGGCCTCTGTTACTGCTTTTTGAGACGAGGAACGGAGCTTTGTGTGTAGCTTTTGTCTCAGCTTCAACTCACTCACGATGCTGAATGCAGACACGACCCGGGGCCTGTCAAACGAGCATCGAATATGTTCGAAAATATGAGAACTGGCTATATGGTCGACGCATTACAACCCCGTCAAAAAGTGCGGGTTTTGGTTGCCAAGACAACGATTGGTGCTACTTCCTGCCAACTTTGGTCACTCACACAAGTTACCCCTCCTATTTTGTTGCATTTTCGCCCCTCCATATGGTTGTGACAAGTGGTCAACATAACGAACCAATCGCTACGTCCTTCCAACTTTGGTCACTCACACAAATTACCCCTCCTATTCTGTTGCATTTTCGCCCCTCCATATGGCTGTGACAAGTGGTCAACATAACGAACCAATCTGTACTGAAATGTCGAGCAGCAGCAGTATACAGCTGCTGGAATCGTCAGCAGTGCACATCCGGCAAACATGCAGGGAGTCTCGACCACCCGGTGCAAAAAATGGCTTTTTCGCGTAGAACTGAGGAATCGGTCAATTTCCTGCTCTTTTCCGTGCCTTAGTGAAGTCTCACAAGCATCCACTACTAAGGAGATTACTGTAGTGATAAATGCTTAACTATACAGATGTAACACACATTCCGGGCCTAGATACCGTGCCGCATGAAGGAAGTACGAGGGTTAAGTTACTGCCAGGTTATCCAAGCCTAGACAGGAGGTGGCGGGGATGCTGAGGTTTGGTTCGAACCATGGACCTTCCGCTCGACAGAAAAGCCCATACCTCCGTCAACATCGAAGCAACTTCCGACCGCCGCGTCTTGTTTTCGAGGGTGCAGTTGACTGCTGTGCTGTTGAGAATGAAGTTCATCCAGCCATCTCATCTGTGCGGAGATGGCGTCATTATCTACCGAGCATTTCCACCCACTATGTGTCCGGTGACCCAGAAGTGAAGACAGAAGGCTAGACAGGAGCAGCCGAGATGCTGGGGTTGGATTCAAACCTCAGACTTTCCGGCCAGTAACTTCCAGTTACGCCAAGTTCAGAAATATGACAGCCATTAATCACACAACGTACTCTGACACATCGCTTGGTTCATATTCACACCACTCTCGTTTGAACGGTCATCCCCCTGTTCTGGCACAGTGATTCTGGTGAGTGCATACCAACGACGGGAAGCACTAGACTCGAGTTTCGCTCTTATTGGAGCTCATTAGCAGTGCATATCAAGTTGCTGTGCCGGGATTCGAACTCCGGACATCTGACATGCGAGGTGAGCGTTTAACCACAACTGCACAAACGCACGTTGGACGCATTTGAATTTTCACGTCTGAACAGGCCAACGCGTCCACATTTGAGCGATGTGATTGGTGTGGCCGATTCACTTGCTTGTGAGATTTTACTTCACAGTTCCACCCTCGCATAAGTAAATCACTGTTAAGTTTTTTATTGTGCTGAAGTGAATAAGAACTGTTCCCCCTGAATGTCTGAAGATAAATTTGACCCGCAGACTGATGGTACCAAATTACTAGACCACTGCTGTTCGATCGTACTGGACGGACAGATCCCAATTTTCTGATATGAACGGTTCAAAATGTCGCTTCAGCTGTGATCGAGTATTGAAAGCTGTTAATCCCGAGATAGTCCAGTGGTTAGGGTTCGAATTTACTAACCGACGAGCTCTGTGGTTTAAAACGGCACCTTGGATGCTCCTGGGAAACCGGACGTCATCTCAGCCTTCATGCTTCCTTCGGGTAGCTTGGCAAATAGGCATCGAAAGGGTGTTACAGCTAGAAGGCTAAACTGGGTGATGTTCACCAAGGCATGTCAACGCCATGGTTCCAAATATCGTGACTTTGGCCTGCTCTACTTTTAAGCCCCCAACGGTATTTCTAGCCGCTAACTTGCCAGAACGCTGTCCTCAGTACATCAAGAAATTCGGTTTCCGATTAGTTTAATCCACAAAAAATCAAACTTACCTTGAGGTATACTCACAGTCCCCGTATTGGGTTCCACCGGGAGGGGTTTCTGGCTCTCATTTCCTGTGGACGGTAGTTTTGGCCAGTTATAGAGAGGCCAACCAAGAGAAATACCTGATCCCTCGTCAACAGGACCTTCCAGAGTGCTGGAACTGTTTGAATTCGCATAGACATTTATAATGGGTTGCCGTGATGTTGATGAGGCATTCTGAAATTCAAAAAGAAATCAGATGAAACGTAGACAATTCAGCCACACACTGATATCATTTCTTTCAACTGCTTTCAACAAGTATGGGAAAACTTGGGACTATGCGCATTATACGATTCATATGGAAATCGATCCAGTCTCTTGTTTACACAACCTCATCTTGCTTCACTTAAATTATCTTTGGTTTTAAAAGCGGGTGGTAAGGTCGATGACACTTGAGAGAATCCCCATCTGATGAGCTTCAAAATCGATGAATGAGCTGTTCAAGAGGTCTATCAAGGAGATGTAGACAAATACAGCGTCATGTCTGGTTGTAAGTATGACAACATGGGACCTTCCGTCACGAGGATATGGCGCGTGTATATCATCAACTTCAATGGGGTAGAAATTAGAACGGGAATAAACTGTGCGTTAATGCAATGATGAAGTCAACCAGTCCGGTCTTGAAACAGGTTTTTTTTATCCACTGCACACACCAGGGTGGGAAAGACCCATTTAATTTAGGAATTAGTATGCAGCTGAGTATCGTTCACGAAGTAGGCAACAAATAATGAGCCACTGTTCAAATCCATCGTTAATTATCGGTCTTTTAAGCTTGGGAATTCCGCTAAAATGAGTGATTTCTTGTTCAGATTAGGCATTAAGCAGACCAAAGGCGTTTTGTGAAGAGACTGGTCATAGATACCGAGTGGTTACCGCGATTCACTTTGCCTTTGTACTTGAAAGTCAAAGTTATAATAAACACTAAGACCACATGTTGATTTCCTGGTCGCGGATTCAGCTAGTATGATGACGCTACTTCATTTTAATTGATTTAAAAACCGATCGGCTGACCATCCCTCCGGAAAAGTTGTATATTAGACAGGTTATTGGAATCTGGCGACCATGACTGGAGTGCAGTCACACCGGGTACGCGATGGCGCATTCGGCTTTATTGATCAGACAAGCAACATCATTCACGACTTACACTAAATGAATTATTATGCTGGCCTCGCGTCATCGTTTCAACAGTCAACCCTCGACCAGTGTTCTGTTTCCCAGAGGGTGTTCCAGGACTCATTTGGTGTTGTACGCCATACGTATTCCATCCCAGCATTGACCCGTAGGCCAGCATTCCGAGAGAGTTGCTCATATCATCAGTATCCGCGTTGGTCCCAGACAGCTTTGAAGGAGCTGAAAAGCGAAAACTCATTTATAAATCGGTAGACTAATCTCCTAAAAATACCACATGGGTTTCATATGATGTGTAGTAAAGCAGCCCAACCTGAACTGAAAACAGTTGCTCACAAACGCATTCGTATCCGTCTCTCGGACAGTTTTATGCATCTAACGTCATTTCAGCTAAATTCCCAAAGGTCCAACTCAAGTCCTAAGATAAGACGGCTCACGACACTGTGAATCAGTTCTTTTGAGGATAGTGTTCAATCTACACTGATAGGTCCAGATATCCTCACTCGAGACGCAAGGATTGGGTTCGAATCACAGACCTTCCAGTCAGCCGTCTTATCCTGTAGCAGCCAAGCTACCTCGAGCACAGGCGTGCGTACCACTTGATGTTCAGCTAGGACAGAGGATCCTCAAAACTTGGCAGGCGTGATGAAGGACTGCGTAAATGTCCCACTCTTTGGTCCGGTAAGCAATGTCCGACGATCATTTATCTTCAGTGCATAACTACTGTGGCAACCTCCCTCATAGTTTCGGGTTTTTTTATGATAGAGAGAGCTAAACAGTCGTTTCTAAAACAGCTTCTTTAAGGAGGCGATCTACCCTGATCACTAAAAACGCACACAAACAGTTCATGACCATAGTGATTGGAAGCTCATCCAGAAATATCTGGTTTCTGACATGCGGCTGCCTCCCTGAATGCAGTCTGATAACACATGTGGTCGTAAATCAGGAACCTTGAAATGGACTGCAGCATGCGTCGGTTCAGCTCATTTGCCCGCGCAGTTCGGCGTCCACCGATGTCCCTCCCCAACCCCTTCCCACCGCACAAGCAAACTTCGCTGGGCCATTTGACTGTCAGTCATCTGAACGAGGAGATTTAGGCTCCTCGCTGCCGAAAACAACATGTGCCCTGCTACAAAAACTCACGTGAATTCACACGGAATCAACGCTGTGTAAAACGCTGATCAAAAAGGCTACGGAAATAGACCAGTTGGCAAGTAGTGTATTCAACTCGCGTGTTTCACTGAACGACTGCCAACCTGATGTATTCCGAAGCATAAGACAATGGAAAGAATATTTTGAGAAGATAAATTTTTAGTTGCCGCGGGTAAATTTAGTCCACTCGTTTCAGAAACGGAGCCGGTCAGAGGTTGGATCGTCTCACAGGGGGCGAAAGGGGAACATTGATTTCTCACCGAATAAAGCAGACGCGAGCACCTCGCTTTACCCTACGGCATGACCTCAAACAAAACAACTCAGCTATTCAGCACGGAGCAAAAATTTTCGACAGCTTGGCTTGAAACAAACGATCAGAGTACATAACGAACACTTTTCTATGTTCCAGGCCCCCTAATTTGAAGTTTTCCGGTTCGCCACATTTACGGCAAGGTTACCATAGAAGCCCACGTTCTTAGATAAACTGCCTACTTTTCCCTTTTTGGAGCCCAAGCCAAAGATAAAAACAACCAGGAAAAGCCTCGAATGGCCGGAAAAACTCGTTCTTTTGAGTAAACGACCAATCAGGGATCCGCCCGAGCTGACTGATTATTTAAACAATTTGTTCCTAAAATATTGTTAAACTACTCGTTATTTGCTAGTAACTTGTCAAAATTGTTACGTACCTAAGCAAGGCAAACAACAGTCCCCATGATTTCGAGTGTCTGGCCACCGAGCGAACAAGGACTTGAGGTCAGAAAGAGTAGAGTGTTGCATAAATACCAAACAATGGTTTAGCGACTCTGGTTCATAGGGAAATTAAAATTCACTGTGAACCTTCAATACCTTTATTTGGAGTGCAGTTTTTTATTTAAAATGCCATACAACTGTTGATTTTTCGACCAAGAGAGTATGCTTTTCATGCTCAAAGACGTTGAAGTAAGAGAACTTCGAAAGTCTCTTTTGCTGTCCGTGTAAATCAGATGATGTCTTACCGTATTGCATGGGGCCGTTTTTATTCCACTCATCCTTCGGCAACTGGACCCAAGTCTCAGTTTGGCCGTTATCTGCAATCCCCGTGATTGAACTGGGAGCCTGTTCGGGATTCGTTTGAAACAGACGATGTTTGATTGTGTAATAAGTCTGAATTTCATTCAGGAGAGATTCTGTGGACCACTGCAGATCTCTTGACGCCCGGACTAGGATTTCGTTTGCTCGATGTGTAGATAGCTCATGCTAGGATAAAAGGCAGGGGGTTTTGAAATATTATAGGTTGCTCCAGATATATTTTTAGAAAAAATTAAAAGGAGTTAGGAGTGATTATCCACACCCTTGCCAGTACTGACCTGAGAGGTAAGATCTACTCTTGTACATTTAAGCCGGATGACATATATTCCAACGTTTCTGTGTGATTCACTTCACCTTTCTGATGAGAAGTGTGTTCTCGCATAAACTCCAGTAAATAATTCGTGCTATACACTCACCAACATAACATTTTCCAAGTTTTTTTTAGATGCTCTATGTGAACTTATTGAGTGTAATAACGTTAATACCTCAACTCAATGCTCCGTCCGAACCTCCCAAGCTAACGTTTTCAGCAAAAGAAGCACCAAGGACGCACAAAGTCATGTAAAACATGACGTATTTTTGAAGTGTATGAGGTGGAAATTTCCACGCATTCTGGACGCGGCGTTGGCAACTGGCATTAGACAGATACTGAATCACGATTGGCTGTTGGGTCTACACATTCGGCCAATCAGATCTCGCCCTGATCCTGGTCCGGTAATTGATCCGATCTTCTGGCCAATCGCATGCGTCTTAGGGTTCTTGAACTTACCAGCGCCTAGCGCTGAACTGCAGTGACTTTGGTGCTGGATTCCGCCTATCAGTAAGTCAACGATGCTGGGGTAAGGGAACTCTGTATGTTCGAACTGCGCTCAGGAAGTTTGTGAACAAAGAACCCGTTGTCTGAAATCCATTGATCCCACTTGTATTGCAGTCGTTCCATTCGCACGAGATCGCGCGTTTGATTCTGATTGTGGTGTGAGGAGATTTGAGAATTTTCAAGTGAAACTTTGTCCTGTAATATATAGTCTATTAGTAGCTCATTGAAAGACTAATTTTATAAGACGAGTGAAGCTTCGATATGAGAAGTCATCGCTTGTGAAGCCCAAATACATGATCACGTGACATGGAGGAGGCGAGTGGCACCACATCCTATTAAAGTGCGATTTGATCACACTAACGTTCAACCGTTCGTGGTCAAACGAGTAAGTGTTCAGACCGCTGGCTGGTAGGTCACCGGTTCGAAACTCCCCACAGGAGCCTCGTGATTCCCACTAAGAATGAAGCAGGCACACACTATTTTTCGGCTTCCTGGCAGATATATAGTTCATTTAGAGATTGAGAACCCATCTGACGGGTGCTTGTTCAATCGTCCCTACATACAATTTAGCTCGGTACTCAATGAGGCATTCTCAATTGTCCCTGTCTAGGATTTGAACAGATCGATATAGAATGGCAAATTTAGGGTTCCGTTCTTCAGGGATTATCAGTAACCTTGTTGATGGTTTTGAATGTCTCAAGGTAAGCATACGAGTAAGAACAAATTTCTAGTTATCCTTAGACGCCTCGAGCTTAGAAACCGACCGGATGGGGTCAGTGGTAGACCATACAAGACTGCGACAATATCTGTTGCGAATGGTATCGGAGAGTAGATTCGAAATTAGCGGGCAGAGGTCCAGCTCACATTTTGTTTGAGTTTACTCCAGGTTGCAGTTCCATGCAGCTAGTTGAATGTCTGAAACCTAGGATACCGATTTTTTTCCACGTCTATAGGAATTATCGGGCTCCATGAAACAATATATAAATTTCGCCCAGGTGTCTTCCTCTCCAAGTGACACAACCCAGGTCATGAAACTCATAAAGTAGTCGGTCATGAATTCTTGTTGCTTTCAAGCATAGTTCTCTTGTTTGTCTGCTTAAAGATATTGATTTTCAATCGACAATGATTGATGATTCCACTTCTGTTCCATAGATATTTGGAACGAAAGTGAAGGAGTCTTTTTTGGGATGCACGTTGTCATGACACGCATTATGATCAAAGAACGGTATAGCCGAGAGGTCTCCGACGGAATCAATACCACATGATCGCTTCATTGATTACAAATTCTGCTGACAGTTGATGCTATTTTCACTGCTGTTTTCAACCCATAAATGTGTGTCCAGAAGAAATATATCCACCCCCTATGGCTTTTTCCCACCTTTGTCCTTCAGTAAACGCAGGTATACAGGAAACGTCATCCTCGAAGCTACCCAGACGAGTAGTTATATGTCCAACTCAAATTGACCACATTTAGTTTATTGTAAATGGTTATGATCCGTACCATCAAAAATGTGAATCATTGGGTTCTTCTTGCAGCTTGTTCTTCACATGTCATCGCGCATGAAGCGATGCGTCAGAGACATACTCTTTGAGATACCGTGGTTGCTGTCAACATCCAGCTAAGGGACACGTTCCGAAGGCATGCCACCCACTTGGTTTACTTAGTTCGGGCACCGTTAATTGGTGATTCCAGCGTGGAATAGTAGGGTTACTGTTACTTCAAGTACGAGGATCTCTGCAACGTGCAACCTGCTGAGTTGGGCGTTCTTGACGGATACTATCAGTAGCCACTTACAAGAGTCTCATTGGAACATAATTCCGATTGGAAGGCAAACCAGGTTCTTCAGCTACAGTTCATCTAGCTTTTCAAGATAATCGTCAACATATCAGACTAACCACTCATATACTTTTTTGTCCAAGAACACCTTAAATAAATGCACCTGACTGTTCAGAACATGCTGTTCACAGAGCAGAAGGAAACTAATGGATGGAAGATCCACTGTACAAACGCCGTCAGTCGTTTATGAGGATGAATGGATAGCATTCATAAGGATAATAGAAATGAACGAATCATCTAACAAGGACGAACCTCCGTGGCAGACTCATGAAGGGCTGGAGGGAATCGAACAGGACCGGGGTACCCAAACGGATTGGTTGCAAACTGTTGCTGGTTCTCAACTAATGATGAAGTACGTTGTTTCCTTCCATGGTTGTCCGCATCATTTGAGGCGCCCCATGAGTCAGCAGCGCGTGGATGATCGGGACTCCTTCGCCAACTGGGATCGACAGTTTCGGAGGTATCACAGAATTCACAAGCATTTGCAGAGAACCTGTTGTTCGGAGGAAAACGCTGGTAAATAGTTTGTGTATTTAAATTATCTACTAATCTGCTCAGCAGTAGTACGTTTTATATGCTTGTTTGAGTGATTGCAAAGATGGGTTTGCAATTTCAGGCGCCGCACTAAGAGGGGATATGGCAATACTTGGTTTTTCGTCACAAAATGACTCCAGAAGCAGGCCAAAATCTCGACAGAAATTTTCAAATTTTATATCCTCAACAATCTGCGAGTAGCCAAGAGGAAGACTGCTCCACACAACGAGTAAAGCTTCCACCTGAGAAGCCGTCACTCGAAAAGTCGGTGAACAAGTTATCATGTGAATTCCGTCCTTGAGAAGTGAATGCTGCCACATTTTGTCCAACTTTATCGCAAACTAACCGCTATGGCCGGATGCTCAAGCACCTTAAATTTCGGCGGTCCAGACCTAATTCATGTAAGACCTTGATTTTTGATTGGGCACTGTTGGTTGGTCAGCAAAATCCCAATTTACTAGTGAAGTACCAACCGGAATTAGCCATTTGTTTAAAAGACTTCAGTTTTCTTTTTTAAAGCCAAGGTTGCTTTTAAACGACTTTAACAAAGTCATTTATGTATTCCATTCGTCAGCTGATTAGGAGGAACGAAAGGTTTTCACTTTCCTGCTGAGGAACTTAGAGTCGACCGTTANAATGGGACAAGTGCTTACTATCCAAACTGCGGCATTTGTGACCACTGATTCTAGCAAACACGATGCAGTTGAGCCCTCAATAAAGGATGACAGTGACCTAGTCAGTCAATGAGCATTTGTGCTGTTTAGAAATTTAAGTGTGAGTTTCTGCACAGAAAGCAATCCTCTGTTTACCCACCACTTTCGTGCAAGGGACCGCCAAAACAATCGTAACACTGGCGCAGCTCCAGACTCTGGTTGAAAGCAAACAAGCAGATGTAACTTTGGGAGACAGAAGTGGTCGAGTCTCGATCACACACGAACATCCACCAATCAGAAGGGTGTTGAACCAGTAAGCCAATAGTAATGTCCGCACAAACGACCAATGGTCGGACAAGGTCGATCTGCAACAATCACTCACTCCAACCTCCACACAGTGATGACGTCATTTCAACTGGTAGTAAAATGCTTGCGAACAAATTGTCGAATATACACTCGTTTGCAAACTAATTTGGTTTTTCGAGAGACTTACCTGAAACCCAGCTGAATCTCTCGTTTGTGATGTTTTTTTTCAAGTAGAACATAAGGTTGACGGAAACCCCGGGGACTGCGCCTAACTGATGAGCCTCAAAAAGGGCGAAGCCGGTCGTGGGCTGTCGACGGATTTTCAGCAACCTTATGAGTAGTACATTATAAAGATATTCATACTAATTGCTTAGCTAAGTGACGGCTAAATTAAGCTTCGCACATAGCCTACTTGAAAATGCAGTCTATCGCTGTTAATTCGTTCTTTAGGTTGTGTTAGTATGCTTTGACTTAAATTTTTCCTTGCGACCACCCTGTCATCTTCGAATTCAATTGCTGGATAGTCCAAAACAACACACGATCAACTCGGTATCAGTGATTCTAAGGCGGAGATAATGAACATGGAAAGCAGCAAACGAATGTGACAACTGTGATTGTGTAAAATACGCAGCGTGTACGGCTGCATTATCTACAGTTTGGAAAACAAATAATTGCTTGATTTACCGCGGCCCATTGCGTTGTACGTGAAGTTGTTCACTACAGCTAATTCAAGATTTCTGTGAGAGGTTACTTGAGCAACCACGGAGCCGCTTGGTGAACTCAAGGAGTGAGAACTCATCTTGCCAGAACGTAATGCCATTTGTTCGCCAGTGTATGTCATCTAGTCTCGACTGTGGTTGAATCGCGGCCAACAAACGAACCCGTTGGTCTGGCCAGTGACGATATTTCCATCCGAAGTGGGGGGACGACAGCAGTTGTTGTGAACTTTCGTTACTAAAAGCGCCGACCTGACAACGGCTCATCTGGTTGTCAACAATGCCGCAGTGTGTTCTATATGGTCACTAGTCAGGAACCTGGCCACTACAAGCTAACGGTTCTCAAAACCTTTCAGTACTTGGGCAGCGATTTTTTCGGAATATTGGTCGATTCTAGTGAGAACGTCGGAACAACAATGCTGAGGTGCGGCTGGTGGTTTTTGGAAGAAATAACTCGCTTACGATAGATGAGATCACACTGACTTGGCTACTTACTCGTGGGGCCCTTTTCGCACGACCCAGATAAGGCAAGCAGTGGCTTGCAACAAAGTATAAAAGCTATTACCAGAAAAAGTAGCTAAGCTTGTCGTTGCCATCTCCTTGGATGGGCACACTGAGATGGACACATCGATGTTTAGGGGGGCATTATCAGACCTATCTTAGTCGCGCGCTCATGCATCCAAGGAGTTGCCTTACTGCATAGCTCATCTCTTGATCTCTTCAAAAAAGAGTACACTAATGCCCCTGTATTTACTCTCCAATTCTATCATCTACCGCACCAAGTGCGCGTCTACCCACTCCACACACAGCCAAGTCATCGATGGACAAAGCTGTATCTGCTCTAGCCGAGGTTTTTAAAGCCGAAGATGTTGATGATGAATGAAGGTCTTCAACCTCCGTGTGTTCTGACTGAAGATACAATTAAACAAGTTCATAGCCACAGCACTCTCGCCTGAACGGCCGCGTTCCTGTTCTGGAGTAATTATTCCGGTGAGTCCACACCAAAGAGAAACACTGGACTCGAGTTTCGCTCTTATTAGAGCTCATCAGCAGTCAATCGATCGTCACAACCAGGACAGTTACTGGGTCGTCGTTCGATGAGTCGCACACACCAATCACATCGCTCAAGTGTGAACACGTTCACCTGTTTAGACGTGAAAATTCAGATGCGTCCAACGTGCGTTGGTGGAGTAGTGGTTACACGCTCGCCTCGCATGTCAGATGGCCGGGGTTCAAATCCCGGCACGGTTGTGACGATCGATTGACTGCTGATGAGCTCTAATAAGAGCGAAACTCGAGTCCAGTGTTTCTCTTTGGTGTGGACTCACCGGAATAATTACGCCAGAACAGGAGCACGACCGTTCAAACGAGAGTCGTGTGGTTATGAACAAAATACCTATCCTGCAAAACCCCAAAATTAAACAAGTCCCTGAACTCTCCAGGCGGTCATATTCGAAATCGGCTCACTTTAAATCTAGATGCTTCCATCAGCATTAATCGCCGGGTTTATTCAAACAGGTTTGCCCTGATTTCTCCCGGCTTCTTGAGCACCGTCCTAACGGGTCGATAAAAATGCACTGACAACTGTTTACAGTTTATTCACTTTAGTTACATTCCGTGTCTTGTCAATTTTCCGCTGCACCAGTCACTCACCTGGCTCAGTTAGGCATTTTGTCAGCCCATCGCAACCGCTTGACTCACTGATGAAGGCTGTTCACATAGGGAAACATTACAGATCTGACCTTTAAACTTTACAACAAATCTGTCCAGGCTTCTCCCAACCTGTTTCGGTTATTTGAACAAACATTGCAAGATTCTTGCCACTAAGAAAGCCTTGCGTATTCCAGAGGTGTCCGGGGACTTGTTGAAACCCGTTCAAAATTTTGAACGTCCGGATAGGGTGTAGCTATTTAGAATTTATTGATCGCATTGAGCACAACACCAAAAATGAGCTTGAAGAATGAATGTGACCCAATTTTCACCCCAGCGCGGTGAAAATTAGCCTTCGATCAAGTCAACTGTGGTCATAGTAATCAAATTTTGCGAGTGAAGTGTTTGGGTCCACTCAGTTTTGCATTGAATCGAAAATTTCACCTCATTTCCACTCCCTTTACCGTGTCTGAAGGATTCAACAGGGTCACAGAATCAATCTCAGGTACATATGAAATCCCCAGTTTTTGACAAACCTTGCTTGCGCTGTTCCGTTCCAACATTGGTCAGGCATCTTCGATGTTGGTACCAGATGTGGGGACTCGTTGCAAATTGATGAACTGGCACTCGACCATATGTTTGACAGTTGTTCCATCTGGGGAAGTGAAAAAGGATCTTGAGGAAAACTGAATTAGTTAAGATCGGTGCCCGGAATTTCATCATCTCTCTAAGCGGTTTTTTAGTATTCTGTGATTTGCAAAGCCGATTGATGTCGGTAAACTGGGGGTTCAATTTCTTGGGCTTCAACTAGCTTTTAACTGTTTCTGATAAAGACCGATTGATGTTTGTGTGTACAGTTGGTCTTTTACGATTAAAATTCAAAAATCTCACTGTTTGGCTATTCATACCTTAACTATAAAGTGCAAACGCCGCGACTAGGATGGTCGAGGTTCGTATAACGCTCTACATTCGCAAATGGATGCGTTCATCTCGAAACAGTGCTGCGGCAGTCACCTGACTTCGTGCAAGACCGAGGAGACGTGCACACTAGTGCCTCAAGGCAGCGTCTCCTAGCAGTTGTAATTCAGGCCCTAGGAGAGAAAAGTTTTGGCCTTGTCTTCGGGTGATCATCGTCAGCCAGCGTGGAGGCCGAAACTTGTCCAGTCCCATTGTGTTGTGAGGGATGCTTAGCAGGCAGCCATGACCACAAATCCGAAGAAGACAGACAGACAGACAGACAGACAGACAGACAGACAGACAGACAGACAGACAGACAGACAGACAGACAGACAGACAGACAGACAGACAGACAGACAGACAGACAGACAGACAGACAGACAGACAGACAGACAGACAGACAGACAGACAGACAGACAGACAGACAGACAGACAGACAGACAGACAGACAGACAGACAGACAGACAGACAGACAGACAGACAGACAGACAGACAGACAGACAGACAGACAGACAGACAGACAGACAGACAGACAGACAGACAGACAGACAGACAGACAGACAGACAGACAGACAGACAGACAGACAGACAGACAGACAGACAGACAGACAGACAGACAGACAGACAGACAGACAGACAGACAGACAGACAGACAGACAGACAGACAGACAGACAGACAGACAGACAGACAGACAGACAGACAGACAGACAGACAGACAGACAGACAGACAGACAGACAGACAGACAGACAGACAGACAGACAGACAGACAGACAGACAGACAGACAGACAGACAGACAGACAGACAGACAGACAGACAGACAGACAGACAGACAGACAGACAGACAGACAGACAGACAGACAGACAGACAGACAGACAGACAGACAGACAGACAGACAGACAGACAGACAGACAGACAGACAGACAGACAGACAGACAGACAGACAGACAGACAGACAGACAGACAGACAGACAGACAGACAGACAGACAGACAGACAGACAGACAGACAGACAGACAGACAGACAGACAGACAGACAGACAGACAGACAGACAGACAGACAGACAGACAGACAGACAGACAGACAGACAGACAGACAGACAGACAGACAGACAGACAGACAGACAGACAGACAGACAGACAGACAGACAGACAGACAGACAGACAGACAGACAGACAGACAGACAGACAGACAGACAGACAGACAGACAGACAGACAGACAGACAGACAGACAGACAGACAGACAGACAGACAGACAGACAGACAGACAGACAGACAGACAGACAGACAGACAGACAGACAGACAGACAGACAGACAGACAGACAGACAGACAGACAGACAGACAGACAGACAGACAGACAGACAGACAGACAGACAGACAGACAGACAGACAGACAGACAGACAGACAGACAGACAGACAGACAGACAGACAGACAGACAGACAGACAGACAGACAGACAGACAGACAGACAGACAGACAGACAGACAGACAGACAGACAGACAGACAGACAGACAGACAGACAGACAGACAGACAGACAGACAGACAGACAGACAGACAGACAGACAGACAGACAGACAGACAGACAGACAGACAGACAGACAGACAGACAGACAGACAGACAGACAGACAGACAGACAGACAGACAGACAGACAGACAGACAGACAGACAGACAGACAGACAGACAGACAGACAGACAGACAGACAGACAGACAGACAGACAGACAGACAGACAGACAGACAGACAGACAGACAGACAGACAGACAGACAGACAGACAGACAGACAGACAGACAGACAGACAGACAGACAGACAGACAGACAGACAGACAGACAGACAGACAGAAGACAGAAATGAGGGTAAATATTCAGGCGGTCAAACAGGCAATCAGTGCGAACGATAAACTCTAAGGCAAACAGACTGAGGGACACACGAACAAACAAAGTCTTGTTTTGTCTCGCTAACCTCCGGGCTAATTTGTGAAACGACTGAATTGGTCGCGATACTATGCCTGTTTAATTTCAAACTTTTAAGCACTTATCATTCATCAACTTGCTATGTTGGCTCACTGCAGCAATAGTTCGAATTGAAGTTCGAGAAAACTCACCTTTAACACCATGTCCTTCATGATCGCCTGATGTGAGCGAAGGATGTTCATTTCACTGGAGCTTGGCGCTTCTTCCTCGTAACTGATTGGCCCTCCCATTTCGAACAACTCCAACAGTTTTGTTGTCCCCGAACACTGAGGTTGCAGCTATGGTGGAAATAATGGTGTTACTACTAATAATAATGATAGTAGTACTGTCATGAAACGCAAGGATAACCAGCTGACAAATACCACACAGCCCGAGATACCGATTACTTACACAGTAAAAAACATTCAAAAGAGACAAGTTGAGAAAATTTAGTACAGGTTGTAGGTTTACTTTTTTACAGCGAGTAGCCTTGCCGAGAGAGAACGTTTTTTGCTGAATCCTGGTAGAAAGAAATCACTTGGCAAGCTAGCGAAATTCACTCAGTTGCAAACAAATTCGGTTTTGCGAGAGACTCGCCTGGAGCCACGCTGAATCTCTCGTTTGTGGTGTTTTCAAATAACTGAATGTGCTGCACCGGGTCCCCTCATGTTTCAGTTGGTACGTTGTTCGGGATATCGCAATACATATCTAGACGTAATGCAATACTCGCAAGCTTGTTGAGGGCTCTTCGACAGCCCACGGCCGGTTTCGCCCTTCTTGAATCTCATCAAGTGGGTGCAGTCCCCGAGTTCCCGTCAACTTTATTTTCTCCTTGAACTGATTGTAACAAATCAATTTGATTTTCACAAATGACTCACCTGAAAAATAAGGCTGACTGAAATCCGGGGACTGCGCTTACCTGATGAGCCTCAAGAAGGGGGAAACCGGTCGTGCACTGTCGAAGAATTTTCAGCAACCTTATGAGTAGTCTATTACCTCTGTGCTTTTGGAAGCACGTTTTGAACCCGTCCGCTTGTGACCAAAGTTTTACGAAACGATGTATCATTTTATATGGCCATATAGATGCCGGATATGCACAGTGTGATGAACGTACGGTATGATGACATTCTGTTTTGAATAATTGTGGAGTCACACATCTTGCATTAATGAAGGTGACAGGCTTAAAAAAGAGCATGAGGCTGTTGACTGTTTACATGGCTGGTTTAAAGTAGCAACGAACTGATCATGTGCTGCGAGCACGCCAGAAGGAGCTGTTTGTATGAGTGCTCATGAGTGCAGAAATATTTGTGTGGAAGAGGGCAGAGCCACGGAAGCCTGGGAACAAAATATTTTTGTTGGCACAAAATCCAATCCGGTAGCAACCAGTCCCGTCGCACATGAGACGCGTACTTTTATTGGTCTGGGTTGGAGCGGTTACTTTAGAGGCCTTGCCCCCTTGACAACTCTGTATGAGCAAACTTCCCACTTGTAGCACTGTCTGAATTCTGGCTAAATGGATAGTACTTCTGTATTCTATAAGTGATTTGTTCAATGGTTCCATCAACATTCTCATCTCCAAAGAAGGAAGAGGAAGAATATACGGGAATTATACTACTTATAAGGTTGATGGAGTCAGCAAAATAGACTTGGTCGCACACTAAGGTGGCTTTTGACGAAAGATTAAACTGAATCCGGCTTCATCTCCGTGCGGCACAAGTCCGCCACAATTTTAAGTGTTCATTTCGCTTTGTGGTCCCGTGTAGATTGCATTAGCCCTGGTTGTAGGAGGTTGCCAGAGTTTTGAAATTCGCAAGACTATCGCTTGAAAAACCTCCAACATTTCCTGGCGCAAGTATTCTGGTGAGTCTCCACCAAGGGAGGGAGAACTGGGATTGAGCCTCGCCTTTATTAGAGTTCATCAACAATGCATATATTCGCCCGTGATATGGTTCGAACTACGGACATAAGACGCTCAGACGCATCCAGCGTTCGCTGGCCGAGTAGTGATAACACGTTTACCTTGCAATTTAGATGTTCGGAATTCGAACCCCGGCACAAACAGGGATATGTGGTAGTGGTGAGTTTTAAGCCAAGCGAAACTCGAGTTAGGTCCCTCTGTTTGGTGCGAAACCATCAGAGTAGTGGCTCCAGGATAGAATGAAGACTGCTCAAACCCGAGTAACCTGAGTGCAAATCTTCGAGTGGCTGACCATGAAGAAACTCCATACTACATATTTTAGGGATTACCGCTCACTCACTGGCAGATGGTTGCATCTCGGTTATGATTTGCTGATTTACTTATTGGTTGAATACTACTCACCACCTAGGCAAAAGTAAGTTAAATTCGGACATTTCCACTCAATGTTCGTTAGCAAGGAAAAGCCAGCTTTGTATTTGAGTCGCTGTGGTGTGGATGGTGATGTACCTAAATCTTTGGCAGACTTTCAATGTCCAAAGTCGAAGGGATTCTTTTCTTCGTGTGGAAATTTCTTGGCCTCAGCTTCTGTGTGACCCAAACGAAATGAACGGCAAAACGACGCGGGCCACCTGAGTCGACGAAACTTTCTTTAATTTTGTTCTACTCTTCAAAAAGCAAGTAGTTTGTTGTTATCTCAAATACCGTACTTCCACAACACAGTAAACTTCGTAAAATGACAACAGCTGTAGCTGAGAGCACTAACCCATTGCTTGTGTGTCTTCAGCAGGTGTCGAAAGTAGCCAATCAGTCGTTTCGGCAGTTGTTTGAACTGAACCATAAGACCAAGTTGTGGTTTCTGCAGGAACGTTTGGGCCACGAGTTTGATAGCATCTAAAATTACAAAGTGTTTGATGACTCAAGAAGCAACCAAGAGAATTCACAACTGGGAAATCTCAGATTCTATGGGAACCATATAACTGTCATTAAGGAAGAACAGCTATTTATGATCGATCCTGAAGCGTGTAGTCTTGAGTTTGTAAAATACTGAGGGAGACTAATCTCGGAAACTTTCGTTTAGGGTTTATCAAACCGAGTGTTTCAGTTGGGAGGTATCAATGTACATTTCTTCGGATATGGCACACTGCGCATAAGGTTGCTGTCAGAATATATATAGCTTTATCTCAAATAGCTTGCCAACTGAGATGTAAGGTGGCCTTTTCTGGAAGAATATCGGAGGAATATATTTGGTTGGGTCGTTGGTTGACAACAACTTAACTCTTGCAGGGTTTGCGGAATATGTATTGCTCCTACACACATCGCTCAAGCGTGAACAGGTTCGCCCGTTCATACGTAGAAAACTCAGATGCGTCAAGCATGCTTTGGTGGAGTAGTGCTAACACGCTTGCCTCGCATGTCGGATATCCGATGTTCAAATCCCGGTATGGCCATTGGAGATACACTGCTGATGGGCCCTAATAGGGGACTAATCTCGAGTTCAGTGCTTCGCCCCTTTGGTGTGGACTCACCAGAATAATGACACCAGGACAGGAGGGCGACTGTTCGAACGAGAATGATGTCGATATGAACATAAAGGGAACTACTCACAAGGTTGTTGAAAACTCTTCTCGAAAACCAAATTGATTTGCAAATGAGTGTATTTCTTGATGTCAATATGAAGTTTAACTTCCAAATGAGTGTATCTCATCAATTCAGTTCCGCTTCTAAACATGTTCTCAACTGTGCGCCAATTTCGCTCTAAATGGAGGCAAATAGAGGCATAGTCAAACATCATAGTGTATTTGCCGAAGAGTCCTAAGCAACCTTATGAGTCTTCTCCCGCAACCGAATTCCTCACAATCACATCAACCTCGGCAGTTTGAGATGAATGATCGTTAGCAAATAATTTTGGGAATTTTTAAAGATATTACTCAAATCAACTGGAGTAAGACACTTGAAACTGAAAAATAGAGCCACAGGATCGTAAGATTGTGATGGGGTTACCTGGTATTTCGTCTGACAACCTCCTTATTGTACTTAACCCAGTTGATTAGATCACCACTCAGCCCATGCGTTGGGGTTGGTATTCGTAGAGTCTTGATATAACGGACAGTTCTACCTTTGTCCACTTCTTATGATAGTGCACTCTACAGAATCTCAATCGGCCAGAGATCAAACTTTATGAAACGGAACAGAAAGGAACAGCCCTTGGCTAATTTTAAGGTGATATACATTACAACTCTCTGTTCAAATATCGCGCTATCCAGTCTACTCATTGCAATAAAAGGCAATTTAAATTGGCCCAATCTCCAGACGTACGTACTGTCTAAACAGGAGCGCCTATTTTCTCAGTTTACAAGTTAAAATGACACCACAAAAAGGAACTGAAATCGATCTCATCCCTACGGGTATAGTGTCTGTAATTGGTTCATGTCTGATCAATCGTTTTAGAAAGTCTCTTGTTCCCAATCACGACGGAGCTTCGCGACTGACTCCGATTTAAGAGAAACTGCAATGACAACGTTATTTTTATCTGCAGAAGCTGCATCGTTGATAGGAGCCTGAGACAAGAGAAAAACGGCACGGGCCCATGAAACGAATTATAATGTCAGCTGACCTTAGATTAACGTTAATTGAATATCGATCCAAATTGTTGACCACCAGACATCTAATCAATATATTACACACAACCGAGCTCAACCCATGGCTCCTGAGATCAAGGTTACTTTGAGACTATCTTCATCCTCATCACTATCATCGTCATCAGTATCATTATCAGAGACAGAAACATCTGTGTTCACACCGATACTCCACTGCCGTAAAACCACAAAGTCTATTCAATAGTTGAGGCCATTTACTGAGAAGACGAAGAAAGTGTTTGATGTCGACGACCTGGCCTGCTGACCTATCGCAAGCATTTCAAGGTGCTCACACACCCAAGCCCCCAGTCGGACAACCTGGAAAGAAACTGACAACAAAAACGCTGCTGAAATCAGACACAGTTTGTTGCAATGCTTCTGGCCAAGTGCAGGAGGCGTAACGGAGACCCAATCCTGGAAGATGTTTGACCCCAAAGTCCTCTTTTTCCCTTTCACGCCTTTCTGCCAAGTCAAACTGTCCACCTCGCGGTTTCGGTCACCCTGAAGCTGGCATGCAGAACAACACAGGTTCCGGTAGACGCTGTCTTGGGATGCGTAGCGCATGACCGAGCGACTGCAGTGGGTGGAACTGGATGTTCAATTGAAACAAATGCACGGTTACCAGCTGATTGTGACTGGTAATAAGAGTGGAGCGCCACTTAGAACTTGGTTTGATTACTGAACGACTGTTGTTCCAATTTTGAGGCTTTGCGGGGTAGGTATTTTGCTCATAGCCACACCACTCTCGTTTGAACTGCCGTGTTCCTGTTCTGGCGTAATTATTTCGGAGAGTTCACACCAAAGGGAAGCACTGGACTCGAGTCTCGCTCTTAATAGAGCTCATCAGCAGTGCATATTTAATGGCTGTGCCGGGATTTGAACCCCGGCCATCTGACATGCGAGGCGAGCGTGTAACCACTACTCCACCAACGCACGTTGGACGCATCTGAATTTTCACGTCTGAAAAGTCCAACGTGTTCACACTTGAGCGATGTGATTGGTGTGTGCGACTTATCGAACGACGACCGTCCTGGTTGTGACGATCGATTGACTTTGGTGTGGACTCACCGGAATAATTACGCCAGAACAGGAACACTGCCGTTCAAACGAGAGTGGTGTGACTGTTGCGCCCTCTATCGATTTCAACCAAGGTATTCTTCAACAGTCTACCATGAACCATGAGACAAATTCAGTGTGAATATTCTCAGATACACTTGGTCCAGTTTACCGATTTTCGTTGCCAGTTCTAATTTTTTTAAATTTCGTTGTTGGATCACGCCCCTGAGGTTTACTGAGGCAAGAGCTTCCCAATGTAAGTCCCGCTATTTTCCCTGATTACTTTGACGCGATCAATTCCCATAATGCTGGTATTTGGGTCGCTGCCAAAGGTGGATTAAAAGTACACTCGGTCCTTCTCTGTAAAGCACTTAAGGTCATTGATCAGAGATTAGACTAGCGATGAGCACAGCTTTCTACCACGATGCCATTCCCGCCTTGAGATGATGCAAGATCCAGACGGCCCTGATGGCCAATCAGAAACGCGGTTTGTGGTGATCAACAAGGCGTGAGATAGATTTCCACATCGATTTACTTTGTGTGAGGTGTGTATTTTAGCTCCTAAAAAACAGCTGAACCCTTTGATTTTATCGCAAGTTGACGTACAATTAGTAACGAATGGCAAACTGTTTTTGGTAAAACCTTCGTTGAAGAGTATGTTGTCTCCAGTGGTGATAAATTGTTTTTGGACTGCGTGATTCAGTTTTCATCAAAGGACCACTTACTCTTTATGGAGAAACGACATTTCACGCTGGCTTAACCAACATGAGAAATTTCAGTTTATTCTAGAAAGGTGTAACCTGGGCTCTGAATGAATCTATATGATGGTATATGGTGATTCGCCTTTCTCTCGGAAACGTCTAATGGAACAAACTTTCCGTTAAAGCTCTTTTCAAGCACTGTAGATCTATACATACAATGAAGTACACATACCAATGAATCGGTTCCATGGAGCATCAAGTTGGCTCAAAGGTTTCAGGCAGTTAGACAAAGTTGATAGACAAAGTTCTGGACAAGGGCGTGTTAGCGTCTTTCCAGCGCACAGAGCACAGTGATGCATTCGCATCAGTTTGTAGGCGCACGTCCCTTGAGCCGCGTTGAACTGAAATGAGGATAAATAAATTCGTGGTTACTCAAACCACTACAAGTAGTGTGAAATTAAACACGATAATGTCGGTTGTTTCAGTGGTGCGAAAGTAAAAGTGAGTTATCTCACTGCCAATATTGTCTGAAAAAAAAAACAACATCATCAAGCGAGATCACCCTAACTCGGATATTCAAACCAAAGCTGGAGGACTGCTTAAATATCGTTTACAAAGAACCGAAATAGTACGCTACATGCCCATAATGAGTTAAAAAAAAGGTGTGCACGTTAAGGTGTACGAACAAAACTACCAGATAACTGGAGCGAACCTTTGACTCTCCGTCGAAGACTGCCAGGAACGTCCTCCATTCACTTCACCTGACACTTTTGACTTACATTCATTTGTTCAAAGGTTATCTTAGATGAACGACCTTTAGGCTACATTGTCCTGATGTTGGAGATGAGGCAGCGCTTGATTTAGGGGTAAACTGAATGCAATCTGCACAATAAACTGTCAGCAAGGAGTGTACAAGATACCGTCTATAATGTCTCTGCTCCAGAATTTCGCCAAGTGACCGTTTTTAGTGTTTCGAGGCCTTCTATTGGGCTTAACTCCAGACGTAAGGCTTCAAAGACCCTACGTGACGCCACGGCGAGAGACAGAATACCTCACAAGCGGCACGGAGTTTTGAGACTGAAAAGTCGCTCGATGAACCAACCGAAGCCTGTTCACGTTAGGGGAATAGTGCATTAGATGGGCCAGAGGCACTGATGTCCATGTGCGTTCACCAAAAACTGGATGACTCATCCGTTAGCCAGTGGTGTCCACGCGCGTTCACCAAAAACTTGATGACTCATCCTTTGCTGAGAGATCTTCTGAAATGTGCACCGCTGATTGTTTCATACGTACGTATCTTGTGGAACATCCTCGATGACCACAAAAACACGAACCAGAAGGTTATTCTCGGCCGATTTTTCAAACCGTAGTCTACCACAAGCCACACGTTCATCGCGGCGGAGTATACTCTGAAATGAGTGGCAGAGTAAACTGTACTATTCCAGGTCAGATTGGGCCGTTACCGCAAATCCCAACGGCCTTGGTTTGTGTTTTTACTTTTACGACGATTATTGGACAATGATTGTTCTTTATTCTACAGAGATAGGGTACCACCATCCCTAGAACCGCTGGCAGCGTTTCCCAGGCATGAAAGAAGCTTTAATGAGCCGAACTCCCCTAAATCCGTCCGGTTGGCCCGACTCTCGTTGTACTTTGTTGAGGCCAAACCTCATTAAAGTACGATTTACAACTTCACTCCAGCGTGTACAACAAGGAGCAAGCCGACTACCGGTTGTCCTACATCACCCGTCCAATCATTTGTTTAAACGCAGCGTTTTGTTTTGAGGTTGCTGATGAAAGCTCTCAACTCACTACACAAAATTTTATCGTCGACTTCTTTGAAACGCCAACTGTTTTCATATCAGCATTCACCCCACCTGTTGCAGCGAATATTATGGTTGTAATACCATGAATAAAGATATAAGAAGCTCGTTTCCGAGGGGTTTGGTAAACAGTAGGTAGATTTTGACACAAAAGCTTCGTCTGGCCATGTGAGTAAGTAAGTAGGTTGATTAGGTTTTAAGGCAGTCAGGGAACCAGTCGGTGAGATTTCTCTTGACTAGTCGACTTGATCACTGCTGGGTGTCAGTCTGATATTCCTGTTTGTTGGTTAGTGAGAATGACTCACATTTACGATAGATTGGTTGAGAGAAGTTGTCTCCATGGTGAAACGGATTTGATGGCCTAGGACACCTCGATGGAATATTCCTCTCAAAGGTCATTCACAGATTTCGTTCGCCTGTGTTCGTCAGGGGGTGCCGAGATAAATGGTTTGGGATTGGGAGTGGTTATCTGGATCTTACTTCGCTTGGATTCTGTCTGTACTTTTAGACCCAGACCATCTTGTCGATAACTGCTTCGTGTCGACTCGGCTGATCGAAAACCGCCCTCCACACGGTTGCCAGTTCTATTCTGTTGACGATTGGATGCTTACCGAATTCCACCACCCGGTATGGTGTGAGAACCTCGTTCAAACGCCACAGGTCCCATCAGCATTGACACTCAAATCAGGAGAAAGGAACTGCCTCATATTTAGACGCGGCTACTTAATTACTGTGACACCACGCAACTGATTCTTCATTTGGTGACTCCGGGGAGGTTATCCACCGTACCTGAGTTACCCAATTCCTTTCAGGCGCCTGCCCGGAAGGATGATACGACATTTTCTTATATCTTTGTAATGTGCTACTCAGTAGGTTGCTGAAAATCCGTCGACAGCCCACCACCGGTTTCGCCCGTTTTGGGGCTCATCAGGTAGGCGCAGTTCCCGGGGTTCCGTCAACCTTTTGTTCCACTTGAAACCAAATTGTACGAAGTTCGCGAATGTACACTAATTTGCAAGCTAATTTGGTTTTTTGAGAGACTCACCTGGAACCCAGGTGAATCTCTCGGTTTCGACACATATCCGAAACATGTCGACGGATTTTCAGCAACCTTATGAGTAGTGGATTTTGATCTCTTCCACGGTCAAACAACTAGTCCTAGTGACAAGTTATACCTCTGACATATTATATATTTGTTACAACTCATGAAAGACCTAACTCATTCGTTTTTCTGGGTGCGGCGTTTCCTGCCTGTTAAATGCACCCAGAAAACCTGGATCTAGCATTTCAGCGACGTGACAAGGGTGTGCATGCTTACGCATATGCTCCATGTTTGAGTTTTGGATTTCTCCCGGGGTTACATTATCTTATCTTAATATTCCTATGATCGTCTTGCATATCAGCGCACATTCCAACCAAATCTGCCACCCTTCTTTTGTAACTCTATCTTCCAGAAATGCTGGTACCATATATCTCCAGTTGAAGTGATCTTACAGGATATCATTCAACTGACATTTATGCAAAAGGTAGACGGAAGCAAAGTACCCACCGTCCAAAAAACCCAAGGGACTTCATTTACTCCGAAAACGGCGGTTACTAGTCCTTCGACAGAAACTCTGTTTACAGAAAGTCGCCATTACGTAGCTTTTCAACTTAGGGCTTGAGTTCGATGCGTCTCAGAACCAGTAAGGCATTCTCACTCCAGATTTTCGTTTCCATTCAACAGCGATACCTTTTTCATCCGAAGCACTTTTCTCTTAGAGTAGACTGCTTCACTCAGCACAGACCAGTCGGTTTGTACTCGAACAGGCATCTACCGGTGAAAAGAGCTTCACTGACGACTGTTCACACTGACGAATCCGAAATCCCGAACAGTCAAGAAATATGACTTTCCGCCTGTCTCACAACTTCAGTTACCTATGAGGTTTTTAAAAACTTGGTTTTTCCGAAACTCCAACTGATTCGGAATGAACATTCAGACGAATGACCAAGTAGATGAGAGTTTGTCGGAAAAGAAAGCGAACAAAAACAGATTATAAACCGGCCAAAAGAGTCTTGTTCCACACAATCACTAGCAAAGACATCCACAGGGCGAATAAATGATCAGGGAACAAAGACCGCAAACGAATGACCACGTTTGTTTTCAAACAGACCTAGATCAGTCCAGCTGTTAATTTGTGAATTTCCTGTCTAATTGGATTGAACGAGGCTTGATCAGGGGTTCACCTGTGTGTGTGTGTGTGTGTGTGATCGGGTGACATAATCGCAAAACACCTGCCCTCCCCTAACTATGCTATATTCCACCGGCCCGGTTCGTTCTTCTGTGGACGGAAAGTACCCACGGGCCAAGTGAACCGATACGTGACCGTTCACACACACACACACACACACACACACACACACACGTACGCCCATGCGTGTTTTCGGACTACAACAGCAACGCCCGCCACATCTCTATATATATAATGCACACTGGAAGCAATAATGATTTATCTGGCATGCCAAGCAAGACACACACGCAGTGGTTAAGAATGGGTCCAGCGTTTCGGCAGCCGCCGGTTCATTTACGTTCCTCCTGTGCACTTCATCAAATAGTCGACTAGACGAACTGCCTAAATTGCCCCGGATTAAGCTCTCCACGTCAGGCGCACACACACACACACACACACACACACCCGGGCAGTTCGAACAGTGTGGAGACATACAAACACAAAACGAGATGATACATTCGTACAACTGGGGACCACGAGGCCTACGCCAGCGTGCCCACGCCTGGTGTTGAAAAGTGAAGTCACCGAATATTGTCGTAAATTCCCTTGTGGGTTCGGACAACTCACATAACCTAACTGTTCCGGTCCCACATTGTTTGTTTGCTTGTGTGCACATGGAATGGCCAATTGACTTGACGAATCGGGCGTCTACGCGTCGTCGTTTGACCGGGAAAAACAAACACGAGCATCGATAGCAAAACCCTAGAAAAATCACTTCAAATGGTGAAAACCAACAGAAAAATGTGTGTGTGCTGATAACTACTTGTCAGTAGTGTCTTACTGCTCTATCAGGGGGTAGCTAAATTCGATAATGTGAAAAGTTGAAGTGAGTTATAGTTTTTCCACGTGTAACGACGGCAAAAGCCGTTTAAAGCACAAACCTCTGTAATCATCGGGTAACTAAACATGACAAGAGTGTTTTTTGTGACTGCAGTCACTTCCCATCATTTCCAGTTGAGATGTACTCATAATGTGCCTTCAGCACATCCCGAAAGGGGAATAGGACACAGGACCTTGGTCGGGAAGTTGACACACGTAGGTGTCATCGGTCAGCTGTAACACCCCTTTCGGTGCCTATCAAACATGTCACCCAGAGAAAGCAAGGGGGTTGAGGCAGGTTGCCCAAACCTAGCGGTCGATATGCTGGCGTTGGGTTCGAACCCCGGTCTTTGGCTGTCTGGCCACTTAGCTATCCAGTGGAAGGCACCCTTTCGGTCGCTGTTGCTGAAACAAAGCATGTCAGAGTCTTCAAGTTTGAAGTTCTCGGACCTCAAGAATGCAATTTCACACTGCGCTCCTGGACAGTTCAACAGGATTCCTGTGCAGTGGCGCAGAAGTACAACTCATTCACTGGTAGTTATTACTCCCCGAAGTGATAACTTCTCCGGTTTTTTTCAAACAAAGACTTCTTTCTGAAACTGAAGCCAAGCTTTACTGATGATCATGGAGACACTGTACAGTTGCTTCAGACTTTCTGTGATTCTTCAGGAGTGCACATCCCATGGAACTCCAGTCGGGAGTTTCGGACCTGTGATCTCCCTGCTAGTGGCCCTGAACAGTTAACCGGCCGGCCAAGTGCGGCTGATTGGCAGTGGGATCGGCTCACACTTAGACAGTACCCAGATATAGACGTAATACACTACTCATAAGGTTGCTGAAAACTCTTCGACAGCCCACGACCGGTTTCACCATCCCTGGAGCTTATCTGGTAGGCGCAGTCCCTGATATTCCGTCAAACTTGTTTAGGGTAGCTGCGGGCGAGATGGACCAAGTGTTTAGAGTGCGAATTTACTGACTGGAAGCTCCGTGTTTCTCGACTTCCCTGTATTGGCTTGGGCAACCTGGCAGTATCCCAGCCCTTGTGCTTCCTTTGGGTGGCATGGCAGCTAGGCGCCGATAGGGTGCATCAGCTGAACGATTTGAAAGTTATCCACGGGCAGTCTGTTTGAAAAAAACGATTTCTGGATCCAAGCGAATGACTTTGGAGTCGACTGTACCATGCTTTCAAAAGAATGTCATTTCATGTTAGCTGAGTTGTACAGACTCTCCCAAACTGACAACTGCTGCGCTTTCGAATCACTGGTGCTCCACACTACTAACAATCAGGATCGAAATGCTGAAATGTTCAAGAAGACTACTCACCCCTTTGAGTCCCTCCATCAGGACCTCTGCAACTTCCAATGATTGCATAAGTAGTCGATTCAACCGGATTGTGATCAATAGTTCTGGGCTGTACAACAATTTGTATTGATCGAGATCACCGGGTTTGCTGTCCAACTTGCCAAGGTCCACTTTTCTCCGACGCCGCCTTCGCAAACGAAAGTCGTATCGGTTCATTGGTTCGGCTAACAAAGGGTGCTCAGCGTTGCTCATCATAGAGTCAAGGATCAAATTCAATCGGGCCTGGCAATATTTGTGGCATCTGAAATCAAGGACATTTGAGAATGATGCACTTTATTACCACGTAGGTTGTTTTTAAAAAGTATGTCACTGATATCTAGGTGAAAGATAGCTTCATTCGAACCGATACCAGGTCACGTACTTCGAAAATTACCATCTGAGTGATTGTCTACTGAAATATTGTCATACCAAGAAACGTGCATTGCACTTACCCCCCAACATGCAGTCCCCCTCAGAGGATACATTCTGTGCAAAAAGTCTGCAGCACGAGGTATCCACCTCTCTTTCGCTAGAGGGGGAGTAGTTGTGGCTACCCCATCAATCACACACTTGACTGTTCAGCTCACAGTCGCTCACTGGATCGCGAGGCTTGTCTTTTTTCATACAAACACGTCACATCAAGGTGACTCATCGGGCATCGATTGATTGCATCGTCTAGTGAGCGTAGCGACAACTCATGTGCTAACATACCCACGTACACGCAAACGTACCTACATATAAGGAAACCGGACACAGCACACAGAGACTCACGCGCGCAAGGAGCAGGAAGTTAACCTCTCCACAAGTACCTGGACAACTATGGAATACTTGTGGCGGTCGCACTGCGGAGAAAAACACGTTCCCACCGGAATTTCACCAAGGGACTCTCACATACGATAACTTCCTTTATTGACTTGCTCCCGTTACGCATTGTATTTATTTTTATACGTGTTGCAACCCACCATCGTCAACCATACTAAAACTTCTATTAGTGAAAAAAGACAAGTCTCGTGATCCAGTGAGCGACTGTTAGCTGAACAGTCAAGTGTGTGGGTACCTGGGTAGCTACAACTGCACCTGGTGGCAGCAAGCACCTGACGCGTTAAAACCTCTCGTCAACAGTACTCTGAGGAAAACTGTGTGGAGCTAACATGAATTGCTAAGGAGACGGGGATAGTTAGTTCATTCCCAAACACTAATCTGACAGGTGGTACAACTAACATGGATTTTTCGCTAGTAGTCGAGTTTTGAATGACTGAATGTAAAGGTCGATTGATACGTCGTCGTTCCACTTACATCCTTCTGTTCGCCCACATGATTCCCGGATACCTATCTAACTCTCAGGGGATTCACTCAAGCTGGCGGTGAAGGAATTCCTCACTTGGTACCAACAAACCGCCCACAAAAACCTGCTCTTGGAGAATCCGCGCTTCTCGGAAGACTCGGTCCTAAACAACGTCGTGCGATAGGTGTCTTCTAGAAGAGTATGTCGGATTTGTTAACAGGGTTGAAACCTATTCGACCTACACATGGTACTGCATACTCCAAACTATGGTCACTGCTGTTTTGGGGAGTCGATCCAGTGACACTCTGTCTCACGAAACTGATACTCGAGGATTTATGCACCGGAATTCATCGAAACGCACAAAGCGCTGTCCTTTGCACACATAACTGATGGCCTAAACGTGATAGTACTGGATGTAGAAAACGGTCCAGAGGGCCTTTGGATGCCGTTTAAATAGTTCTATCCAAGGTTGCTTTGAAAGGTCCCATCTCGGGACACAATAAATGCAAACAGACAGAAGAACCGATGGATGGATCGGGTCCCAGAACTACGGGCACCGCCCAAGGAGTGCGTGCTCAAATGAGAAAGCTCTAAAGAAGCACATCACTTCACAGTAGTAGAAGTGAGGAGACAACGGACTGAATGCTCTCTTATTTTTTTATTCTTGGCAGTTTCACTTCTGGGACACGAAGTGTGTGTTTCTACAAGAAGAGCGCGATGTCTGCTGGTATCGAAGCACTGTACTTGGAGATCAGTTACTCATCATTAGCAGAAAAGCACTCGGAGCGACAGACAGCAGACAGATTCCTTACTCATTTGCCGTACTACATGTCTTTGAAGTAGTGTATGCGGTCACTGATGTTATGACCTCAGGAGCCCGCCAACTCAACCGGCAGCAAAGGTCTTCAGCTGTCGGTATTACCAAGGCATTTCAGGATGAGAGCTTTCTTCAAGAAACGCGGGCAGTAATTTGTCCGCAGAATCACCTCGTTTAGTTCATTCAGCGCGCAAAAGGTTTGATGCAGTCAGCTGAACCAGTTGCGGTCCCAATGCAGTTGGACTGTTTGGTTTCTATGAACCAAATTTTACAGAGAGGCTCAGGCAATCCCAGTAACAGTGAGTTGAACGAAACCTCAAAGATTTTTAACAAAAAGGTAGAACAAAGGGTAAGTTTCGAGAGCAACGTATTTACGTCGGAGTGAAGAGAATTTTAGGATGTGAAGTTCAGGAAAATGAAGCATGAATAGAGGTTAAAAGAATCTGGCAAACACCGTTTTGCTGGATTGACCACGATGTAACCGATTGATTTTTTTATCGTAAATTACAGATAAGCTCCCCAGCTGGAGATTTGATTCCCGTTTTTTCTTTTTTTTTCTCGTTTGAATGAGAGGTCATTTCAACGATAGGACAATGAAACCCGTTTCGTTCTTCCATTTGGGTATCCAGCCTGGTAGTTTAAAAACTGCCATTGGACGCCAGTTTCAAACATCTTTTTTCAAAATTTTATCATTTGCCTACGCGGCGCTTTTTTCAAACTGATTCAAGAAGCCACCACTTTGCACACAAGGGTTCAACGTTTTGGTCTGGTTGATCTAAGAGGCGACGTTAGTCCCCTAATGGCTTCCATACGTTAAACTGTATTTCCCAGCTTAAGTGCCATTTTATCGTACGAATGAATCCGGATTTGAAAGCAAACAAATTTTAACAAAATTTATGTTCTTGTTTGAAAGATCCGGTGCCATGAGGAACTAGAGAAACGGAGAGCAGTGGACGCAAAAAAGTGATTCCTTGAGCGCGTTCTATGTAGTATCTATCCATCCATCCCTCCATCCATTCATCCATCCATTCATCCATCTATCTATCTATCTATCTATCTATCTAACTACCTATCTATCTATCTATCTATCTATCTACCTATCT